GGGTAAAGCACAGACAGGAGACCAATGATGGCAGAAGTCTCTGCGAAGTGCCCCTTTATTGCTCCTTCACCTCTCCTTATATACTCTTCCCCTCCACATCCTTGTTTAGCAGGATATTGGATACAGATGAATCCAATTAGTCTAGGTGTTTTTAGCTACAAGCCCAGTTCACAGCCTAACGAGCACTAACCAACTCCTTAGCCCACAACACAGGACTAAGGTGCTGGCAAGGATGGTGTTTGGTGAGGCTTTGCTCCTTGACTTGCAGGCAGTAGCCCTCTTGCTGCATCCTCACCTGGCCACTCCCCTTTTGCATATGCTCCTGGTATTTCTGCCACTGCTTACAAGGACCCCAATCCTAGAACCTTATTTAGCCTTAGTTAATTCCTTAAAGGCCCTGTCTTCACACAGAGCCACACTAGGGATTAGAGCTCTAGTTATGCATTTTGGAGGAAATAAAAGTCCAGAACAAATTTACATCTTTTAGCAACCTGTCATTGCTCTGCTCCCCTTTTAAAAAGATCTCAAAAGAATTATTCACTGTTTTTACTTTCCTTTCAGCTCTCTAATCATGTCTTTGCTCCCCAGATCTACACTGAAACAGCCTTGTTAAAATCACCACTAGAGTCCATGTGACAGTGTGTTGTTGGCAGCATTTACTACAGCTGATCACTTTCCCCACTAGGAAACATTTTCTTAGTTTATGCAGAATCAGTATTATTTTAAGATTTGTTTGCATTATTATTTGAAAGCCTGAGGTATCTGTAGGAAGGGAGGGACAGATCTTCCCTCTGCTGATTCATTCCCTAGATGGCTGCAATGGGATGGTCAGGGCTGGTCCAGGCTAAAACCAGGGGCCAAAAGATTCATTCAGGTTCCCCATGTGGGTACAGGGGCTCAAGCTACTTGGGCCATCCTGCACCCAAGCAGGAGGCTGTACTGAAGTGGAGTAGCCAGGACTTGAACTGCAGTACGAGATAACAGTGCTGCGGATGTCAGCTTATGGCTTGCTGAGCCACAGCACCTGCTCCAGCTCTGTGCTTCTTAATTCTCCCATCTCATTGGCTATTGCTGTGTCTTAGTTGGAATCTCCTTAATAATCTGTTTTCAAAAACCACACTTCCTTCTCCCACACTGCACTATTTGTCACTTAACCAAAGACCACTTGGGAGAAAACCTAAGCCTTCTCTTAAACCTGTTGGATAAATTAAATGCACCTGAGGGACTAGCCTTGATTTTTCCAGTTACGTCAGCCATCTAGGGAACTGCTTGCCATGAAGAGTTTATTATATTACATCATCTTCCCCATGTATCTTTGACCGACTTAAAAAAAAAGGTTAAAAAAAAGCCACCATTTATTTATTTCAGTTAGTTTCAGTAACCAACAATACTACTATAGAAAATTTGCTTAAGGCCTTGAGTTTCTAGCTGATGCCTTAGCCTTTAAGCAGTAAAATGTTGTCAGGATCTGAAGTTTATGGGAATGAAACATGGAGGCTGCTCCTTTGCCTGCCCAGTGAAGTCTCAACTCAACTGCCCCGCCAGCTGAAAGACCAGTGTGACTGATCTCCAGAATTCAAGACTGCAGGGTGAGGAGTGCGGAAGGTGAGTATGTAAGAATTATCTTAGCAGTGTGCCTCAGAAATCGCCTTTGAGTTCTGAGGATACCCCTAGTGTAACAGGTAAGAGAAAAGAGCTACAAATTAGAGCCTCAGTCCTCTGGGATGTTCTAACAGGATAAATTCAAGACTGCAGGGTGAGGAGTGCGGAAGGTGAGTATGTAAGAATTATCTTAGCAGTGTGCCTCAGAAATCGCCTTTGAGTTCTGAGGATACCCCTAGTGTAACAGGTAAGAGAAAAGAGCTACAAATTAGAGCCTCAGTCCTCTGGGATGTTCTAACAGGATAAACACCTCAATCATCTTGGATGGTAAATATACACATAAACCTGTCAGTCCATCTGTTCTCTGATCTCAAAAATGCAGTTGGAGCTCAACTTTGCCCAAAGATGCATACCTGGGTATTGGGTTTGATTAAATTAAGAGGTGGTTTGATGAAGTGGGTGCTAAGTAGGAACAGAATGCAGGAAAAGGCATTGTAGTCTGTCTTGTTAGCTCCTATGCATTGACTGCAGTTAATCACTTCTCCAAAGACCTCTGGTGCCTGGGACACACCTGTCTGTGTGCTCTGGCTCCATACACTTTATCACTGCCATCACAATCCTGTCTCACAGCCTTCTGTGACTATTTCATTCTCGCCTGTCTTGCTTACTGGCCACCAGGCCACAGGAACACAGGATCATGTCAGTTTTGCATACCCTAGCATCTCCACAGCCCATTAGTGTCTGGCACATAATAAACTCATTATGTATTTTTAAACTAGTGTGTGAATAATTAAACAGCAGAAGTAGGATTCTCCTCTTCCTTTCTTACATACTCTGTCAACACAAGTTTGAGCTGTGGATTCTAGGTAAAAAGGACTCCAGATAGCAATATAGCTACGTACCCATCTCCGTGCCCCTCCTAGGGGTTAGGCTGTTTTCAGCTCCATCTTCATTCTCAAGCTGATTCCTAAAGCACTTTGCACTGTAAATGACCTTGATTTCATTTTTACGAATGAAAATATGTAAATATTTAAATCTGGGTTATGTGCTAAACAATTCTGAGTTTCTATTCTAATTATTTTTAGCTGTTCAGTTTTTTCTTCCTTCCCTTTCCTAGATATTCAGGGTATGACAAATACCAGCACCACATCCCACCTTGTAAATCCAGTTCTCCCAAGGCATTCTGATGTCAGGCCCCACTGAGTGGCATTTTTGTCCCCAAAGGCACACCATCCATGCCCACCTGGGGAGGTAGTGGTGAAATAAAAATGCAGCAGTAGTGGTGTCACATACAGGCAAGCAAGCTGGTGCTGGCAGATCTCTGTGCAATAGCTCACCAAGGCTAGAGGGTGCAAAGACCTGCCTTGTCATAGGCAGACCCCGAGAAATTGCCCCAGAGGCCAACTAAAGCAAACACAAACCTGAGACAGACACCAGAATGACACTCCTGTTAGTTCATAATGAGACATTTACATCTCAGGATTGGGATCAAATACACACTTGATACACTCTTTCCGTTCAGGACAATGATGCCAACTTGTTCCTCATCCAAATGACACTGATAGCATCTCACCTACTCAAGACAGTAATTAGACAGCTCTGCTAGCTTACAATCAGAACATTCAGAGAAATGTTTATCTAATACCTGGATTCCTAGAGCGATCCATCTTCTAGAGATTACCTGTGTCAGTGGGCTCTGAATATCTTAAAAGTTATAAGTTGTAATTCCTGTGTGCCTCTCCAAACCAGAAGCCAGAAAACTTGAACCTGAAAGTTAAGACATCCTCTCCCCTAAACAAATGGACACTGATAAGGGTCATCTTGCTAGCTTCTGATTGACAATACTACTAATCTACCTGGGTAAACAAGCTATAGTGTGCATAAGTGTTATTAAATTCTGGTAGAATATGAGATGTGAAGCTGTCTGAAAAAGAGCTATTTTGGCACAAAAGAATTTTTACATCAATGTAGTCTTTTTCATAATGTGGTTTGCAGGAACTTGTGAAGACCACTCATACATGCTAATCCACACAGCTTACACATGGAAGGCCCAAGATGCCAAAGGAATCTAACTAGCCTATTTTTATATAATTTTAGCAATGGCTGAACCAGGTTTGTACATTCTAACTGGCTTGTAAGCTGTGCTTCTTAGGTGAGTCCATCTTATGTTGATGTAACAGCATTTTAAGAGGGCACTTGCACCTCTTTCCTTTACTGCATTTATCAGGGTCCACAGTGTAGTTGCTGAGTTCCGAAAGCAAGGACTATCCTACAAATAAGGAAAGCAAAGTGCAGAAAAGTTCATATTCTTCCCAAGTTACACACCAAAAATTCTCCCCACCAAACATTGTCCTTAACTTTATAAGCTTTCTGATCTTGTTCTCGGGAATCTTTGCTTAAACAGGCTCCAGTGTTTCCATCGGACTATGCTGGGATTAGGCTAACTTAGAGTTTTTCTCCTAACCCAACTCAAAGTTAGAAATATTTTATTTGAGGAGGAATTATTTCTCTTTGTAGTTTTACCTTTAAAGTAAAAATGTATCTTAAAAAAACAACAAAAACAAAACAGAATTACAGAGGAGGTAGGGAGAGGAAGCAGGGAGAGCTTTGCTCCTCTCTGCTAGTTTACTCATTCATTCCCCAAGTGGCTACGGTAGCCAGGGCCAGGACAGACTTAATTCAGGAGCTAGGAACTTCATCTGGGTCTCCCTCATGGGTAAGAGAAGTCCAATGACTTGGGCCATCTTCTGCTTTTCCAGGCACATTGCAGGGAGCTGCAATGGAAGTGGAGCAGCTGGATCTTGAATTGGTGCTCATATGGAATGCTGGCATTATAGGTGATAGCTTAGCCTACTGTGCCACAATGCTGGCCCTGGAATTAAGAATTTGGGGGGGCGGGCCCAGTGTGATAGAGTAATGGTTAAGAATTTTGGGGGGGGAAGGATTTCTAACGAAAATAAGAAAATCTAAAGCATCCTGAAATATAACAGTCTCAAATGTTTGTGTCAGATTGCTAATTGCTATGTAACAACTCAAATACCTCACTTCAGTAGCTTAAAAAAATTACTTCTCAATTGTGTCATGATAATGCAGGTAAGGTGAAGTAAGGAGGGGGGTGCATGTGGGGAAAGCTTTGTTATGCATACCACTTGAGTGTTCACAGCTAAGAGCTAGTTAAGAACCCCTGAGCCAATAGATTCACCATCCTGAGGGTCCTAGTCTTCCATTAGTTCCTTTGTACCCAGCAGGATAAGGAAGAAACAACATGAAGCATATTTGGAAAGTTGTAGAAGGTGGCTGAGTCTCAGGATGGTAACATGGCTGCAGTGACAACTGGGAGAACCTCTTGAGTAGCCCAGAAGAGGAGGAAATGGAGTGAACATACAGCACTGCCCCTGTTTACATGGTCAGAGATGTTTATTAAATCATGTCAATGATAATACAAATACTAAAGACACAATGATGTCACCACCAAATGACACAAAAGGAAATGATACTGAATTCTAAAAACACTGTAAACTTGTAACAAAAATACTGTTAGATTATAAAAATATTAAATTATGCCACATGTTACATGATAAAAATACTAAATAGTGCAATGATGTTAAGTGACATGATGGTAACCAATACTACTAGTGACACACACTAATATCAAGATGATACACTACTAAATGATAACCCTGACAGTAGATGATACAATGATATTCAACGCAGTTTGTACATGAAGGGACTTCAGAAAACTCAGAGGAAATGTCCATTATGAAAAAATATGCACAGATTTCAAACATCTTTGCACCAAAATAAACATATTCTAGTTCCATTTTCCACAAATTTTTGAAGTGCCTTCATACAAAGAATTCCCTTGATCTTCAGCCCAGGAGGAGCAACTAACTTCCTGGATTGAGACAGCTGCATTGAAATGGCTGGCTGGCCATAGTGATCTACTCTGCCCGTCACCAAAAGATGACGATGGGGGCAGTGTGCTGGGCAAGCTGAGACAAGAGATGGGGTGAGATGGTAACAACACCAGCTCTCCCAAAAGGTGAGAAGAAAAAGCCAACCTGCGGTGTTCATGGGGCTTATTTACAGTTCTGCCAGAGTTGTTCTCCAAAATATCTCCCTTTATGTTAATAAGAAACTGGTTGTTGTGCCACACATTAAATATGTTGATTGGCTAGCCAACATGTACTCTCAGCTCTAGATTATGCTTCATGTTGAGGAGGGGGTAAGGCTTGAAGGTGAAACAGAATGCCAAGAGCAAAACCCAAGGACCATGGTTAAGTGGTCATTCCCAGGTCCTAATGCAAGCCAGCGACGGCAGTGTTACATGCTCAGGAAGCATGGTTATATGCCAAAAAGGACTTTGAGGTCAGCCAGGGTGAGCTTGGTGACAGATTCTCCAGAACCTAATAGAACCTGCTTGGCCAAATCTTTCTTCTTCTCTTGGAGCTGCAAAATCTTCTCTTCCACTGTCCCCTTACACACAAATCTGAAAAACAATGGTTTTGTTTTATAAACTATCAAAAATCCAAAGCAGCATATCTAGTAACATATCCAAACTTCAACTTTTGCTTTTAATGAGGTTTCTTCAGGTTTTCTTCAGCTTAGTTGAGAATTCCACATTTATGGGTTCCAAATAACCTGGACTAAATACATGTCCATATAATGGACTGAAATACTTCTCACTTCTCTCTCCCAATCTCTCTTAGAAATCATCCTGATCTCCTACATGGATGCCACCTAAACACTTGAGCCACCTTCCATTGCTTTTTTGTAGGACATTAACAGGGAGCTAGATCAGAAGTAGAGCAGCTGGGGCATGAACAGCACCCATAAGGGACGCTGGCATCACAGGCTACGGCTTTTACTTGCTCCATCACAATGCCAGTCCCTTAATTTCTTTCTATAATAAAGGTAATTAAGGAAGCCCAAGTATGTAAAAGCAAAGAGTCAATTTTCACATAAAAAATTCTATTTGACAGGCCAGATGCCTCAAAGGTTGTTAAATTCCTGCTAAATATCTATGCTAATAGTTTAATAAGTACAGTGTTTAATTTTTTGGCTGTTTGATATTGAAAACAGGCTTTTCAAACCAAGGAAATGCCACTGTTATCATTCTTCCAATCATTCAACAAGTACTGATTAGGCATTTGGTATATACCACATACCATGCTGAGTATGGGAACAGAGAATGTTTTGCTCTGAAGACAGACATGAAAATTAAACAAGAATAATATGACGTGGTTAATATTACAGAAGTATGTCCGATGTACAAAAGAAAGCAAAGGAAATTTTCCCAAAGCATTTCAGGGAAGGCTCCATTACAGAGGTATGGGTTTACTCTTAATGTATGATTTGTGGGATAAACAAAGGTTTTCCAGATAGCAGACTGAGTTCTGTGCATGTCATCAAAGACAGTTATTTTATCCAAAAGTGAGAGCTACTGAAGAATGTAAAGACTGGAATGACACAATCTGATGTCAACAGCAGTCACCAGAGCTGGAAAAATGAAGATGGCAGGTCTGGGGAAGAGGGGACTATCAGAAACATTTAGATAATACAATTAAAAGACCTGGGATATGAAAGGTGAGGAGGTAGGATCTAGTTTCTGGCTATATGATTAGAGAAGCAGGAATATTATTCCTAACAACAAGAAGTACAGAAGAATAGACTCAAGGTGATAGGATGAAAGAAACAATTTCAGCCTGAGTCCCTGAAACATGTAATTGTGTGCTCAACAGCAGTGCTCAATAGGTCGTCTGAGCTGCATACATGATGACTGCACGAGTAATGGATAAGAATGTGGCAACTGAAGTCAGATGTTTGGCAGGGATCTGATATCCAAGCAGGTGATGTTTAGGAGACCTTGGAACTGGAGATGCAAATTTTAGACCTACTGGAGTGGTCAGAATTTTTAAAGGGAGGCATACGGAGTGAGTAGAGGTAAGAGCTGAAGATAGGAAAGATACCAGTCATCATTTTGCAAAAGTTGGGAGTCTTTGTTCTCCTTCAACAAGGGCAGTTTCACTGGAGCAGCATGAAGGGTGGTTTGCAAGGGCAAAGCAGTGGATGGGAGATATACTAGCAGAGACATACAGTGACTTCAGAAAACTTTCTTCATCAATGGAAAGGATGAAGAGCCATTAAGAGTAGATTATAGCACTAAGGCAGGTTTTATTGTTTTTAAAGACAGGAGGGTCTCAGAGGAATGGTCTATAAAAATAGCTAGCATTGGAACCAGCTCTTCAAAACTGCCAGGGTCAACACACACACACACACACACACACACACACACACACACACACACACACACACACACAAGCTGAGTTAGGATTTCAAACCCAAGACGACAGGCTTGGCAACTGTACCCTACTAGGAATTTGGGCTTTTTTCTGCTGAGAAGGACAGCTCAAAACAAGAGAACCTTAATACATGAATGCCAATGCCTTTACTTTGATCATCTTTTTTTGTGGTTATGTAAAAAAAAATCCATATTGTTGGTAAATACACATTAAGGTACTTAATAAGGAGGAATTCTGGATGCAATTTACTCTCAAAAAGCCCAGAAAGTTTATGCACATACAGGCAGCATATGCAAATTTCTCATAACTATTCTTGCAACTTTTCTGTATGTATGAAATGAAACGTTAAAAGACAGGTGGGTCCTTTCATGGGCCACCCTGACTGAGTTACAGCTCACCATCACACTAATGTGTTCTTCTGCGGTGATCAGCTCCAAGGTTAGCCCTACTGCTTGTCTCCCTTCTGACTGCTGCAAGTCTGGGGTGGAGCTTCAGGAGCGTCCTCAGTAAGCGATCATCACGTACTCTACCCATGGCAGCACTTCCCAAGAAAGACCCTTACAATAAGCAGAGTTGGGAAGCGTCATGGGGCCCTTACTTGCCTGTGGATGACAACATCTTTCTGCTGCCCGACTCGGTAAATTCGGTCACATGCTTGATCTTCAAGTGACGGGTTCCTGTCGCAGAAAGGCAAAGCTTAAATGTGCTGACATCCTAGACTAGGGATGGCAACACACACACGGTTTTTGCATGGATCTTCAGCGAAGAGTGTTTGTTATATTTTTAAGATGACTTAAGGAAATGAAGTAGAACACAAAAAATATATGATAGAAAGCCATATAGCTTCCAAAGGCTGAAATATTTACAGAATGTTTGTTGACCTTTGCCATGGGATAAACTGGCTTCAGACTAATGTGAAATCATCCTGCTCTCAAATGAGAAATTGGGATCCTACTATGAATAGCTTTCAGCACCCTACCATTGGTTGACAATAATCAATAAAGAGAGAGGAATCAGGATTCAATTCTGGTTCTAATCTGTTCCAGCTACCTAGATGACCTTGGGGAAGTTACATAACCTGAAGGTTCTGGATGCCTCCTTACAAATGTGAAGGCAAATAATCTTGGATACTTAACATTTTTCAAACTTTCATATCCTACGATTCAACTAAAGAGATTTAACTTGCTTCCTTCTTCAGCAGGCTTCTCCTCTCTCTCTCTCTCTCTCTCTCTCTTTCAGGTATGAGGGAGTTCTAGTCAGACAAAAGACATTCTTCTGCATAGTAATGCCAGGCTGGCCTGTTTGTACCAATTTGGGCTTCCTGTAAACTGGAACCAACGACACCCCAAAGTGTCTGCAATCCCTGGGGGGGTACAATTAAAACCCAGAATTGTGGGCTAATATGACTCTCTCCCCTTGCAATCCATGAACTCAGGCATGCTCTATCCAGAACAGATATGCTCCAGATACGGACACACACAACAAATCCATGGAATATGTATTTAGTGTATCTTAATAGAATTAGAAAATTCCTTTTCCCTGGGCAGTACTGGTTTTCCCTCTTCGTTAAAGTTGAGTGCCCTTGGAACTCAACACATTTGGCTGGAATATGATGTACTGTAGAAGAGGTAAAACTTGGTGGTGATAGCTCTTAGCCACAAGGAAAGCTGTGCTCTCAGTTTCCATGGAAGCACGTTATATCAACAATACAGTGGACAAGCTGTTTTCAGTAGCCATTTGAAGGCTTACCAGCTCAGGAATTCAGTGAGGCCAACTAGGCCTTTTCTCTGTTTAGACCTGTTTGCACAGAGACATCTCCGTGACACAGAGCACTTTCACTGTGACAGGTTAGCAGTGCCCATCATCCCTCTAGACCGCTGGCCTTCCCGCTGTGCTCTGACAACTCAAGAACCAGCCAGCATTGTTACCAGTGCATGTCCAGAAGAAAAAGATGGTTTGCTCCAGTCAGATTTAGACCAACACCTCCAGCCAAGAGGGAGATTAGCATAACCTTCGAAACAGAACAAAACAAAACACTATTAACTTTTTAAAGATTCATTCTCCCAATACATCCCTCTTCTGTTTCAGGTTCAAATCCAAGATCAACGTGCTCCTATCAAATTTCCTTTAGCTTTTACAAACATGCATGTTTTGAAACATTAAGAAGTCATCTCACATGTCTCACTGTTGAAAACATTCTCACATCACATGTGTTTTTTTGTTGTTGTTGTTGTTGTCAATTCCCAAATATATTTTGTGTCTGCCAAAATACACAAATACTGTAACTTAGAGTCCTGGGAATTGTCAGGCCAATCAACTTTCCATTAACCAGATATGTCTGTTCCATTAGTCCCTTCCCCTCCATTGTGAGAATACTTTTCTTGCCTATTTATGCTTTCTTAATCCTTATTATCTACTGTCAAATGGATTTGCTTTCCATCTCTTTCATTATTTCCTCATGTTGAAATCAGTGCTTGCCTCTTCCTCAATGCTTCTCCTGATCCTCGTCAATTCTGCTCCTCTTCACCTTTTAATCTTCATATTTATTCTCTTTATAGTAGTTGCACATTTTGGTAAGCAACGCAATAGCTGTCTAATAAATTGGAAACACTGTAGTCCAGGGCTATAAACATCTTTTTCTTTCATTTTATTTTACTTGAAAGAGTCACAGAGTGAGAGTCTTACATCTTCCATCTGCTGGTTCAAGACCCACACAGTCACAATGGCCGGGCCGGGCTAGGCTGAAGCCAGGAACCAGGAATTCCAAACTAGTCTCTCACACAGATGTCAAAGGTCCAAGTACTTGGGCCAGCTTCCACTGCTTTCCCAGGTGCATTAGTTAGGGTCAGAGCTGGATCAGAGCAAGCAGGATTCAAACTGACACTCTAATACACGATGCTGGCACCTCGTGGCAGACTAATCCTATGTGCCACATGCCAGTTCCTATACTGTGAATATCTTTGAGTCACTATGTGATTCTCTGAGAACAATTTGTTTATTATACAGCTCGGATGTGGCCAGTTGATACCTGAGGGCTGCTGGAGCGGTTAAATGCTTCCACCAAATCCATTCTCTGTTTGGGGTTGATGGAACCATCGATGGTGGCATAAGTCAGTCCATGCCTCTTGAGGTGAAATGCTACAACTCTGAGCATGCTGGTCCACTGAGAGACAATAACACTGGAAAGAAGGACAATATTAAAAACAAACAAGCAAAAAAAACATGCTTCCAAAATAGATCAAACTCCTTACACAGCCTTGCGGTCCTTGTCACCCTGCTGCCCATGGGGAAATGCTCGTGCTTGGGTTCCACTATAAGATCACAGTGGTGGCTAAAGTGACAGCTCCAGCTCTGCTTCCCAGTACTTATGCAGAGACCTGTGGTTCCACAGGAAAGGTGCACCAGCCCCTCCCTATGCCAGCCAGAACAAGCGGCTAGAGCTTCCCCAGCCCCCAAGGCAATGTTATCATCCAAATGTTACATTTTTTAGACATAAGTATTTCACATATCTGTTCCCCACATGCAGATGTGGCATATATATGTAAAGTCTAACAACTGATGAAGCAGACCCCATTGTATCCAAGCAGCCTGCTCAAGACATGAGCAGCAGTCCTGGCGCTTCTCAGGGACTTGCCCGTCTGCTCCCTTGCTCTGACTGCACCCTGCACTTCTCTCCTTTAAGAGCTTCTCCAAATGCTAAGCCCGCCTCACCCTCCATGGAGGGCCTTTCCAGTCTGTGCCACAGGATATCTTAATTAGAAATCACACGGGAGCTGGCTTATGAGCTCAGTGGTCTTTTGCTGAGCACGACTTGGGTCCTTGATGAATAAAGACAGGATTTGTGACTATCGGCAATACCAATTGTTCCTAATTCATTACTACTAATATTTGGATGATGCAGTAATATATTTACCTCTTTTGGGACTTTGAATTGCTTCGGATTGCCTCCAGTTCTGCCAACAGAGATGTTATCTGGGAAAAGGTTAGATTAACAGCATTGTTTTAAGTAATTCATCATTCTCCATGCTCTCTCACTTAAATCACTCAGTCTCCTGGATTGTATCTATGCTCTCGTCTTTGTTTTTAAATTTCCTTGTTACTTACTTGTTTGAGAGACAGAAAGAGTTTCCATTCATGGGTTCACTCACCAAACACCTGAAACCACCAAGGCTGGGCTTGAGCAAACCTAGGAGCCAGGAACTCAGACTCCCACGTGGTGGCAGGGATCCCATCACTTGAGCATCATTGTCTTCACGGTCTGTAGTTACTAAGCAGAAAGCTAGAATCTGAAACAGAGCCAGGGGCTTTGACTGCCTGGCTAAATGCAGCCCCTATGTTTATGGTCTTATCTATTTCATTCTCTGCATCCAGAAGGCTGTGTTTGAACTGTAAATTTGTTAATTAATTTGCTTCCCTGGCTGAGGCGCCTTCCATGGCTTGATGCTCCTTAGAAATGGGCAGATGTTGATGCAGCGGGTTAAGCTGCTGCTCAGGATATCCACATCCCACATGAGAATGCCACTTTGAATCATGGCTCCTCCGCTTTTGAGTTAACTTCTTGCAAATGGATGCTGCGAAGTAGCAGATGATGGCTTAAGTGCTTGGGTCCCTGCCACCTATGTGGAAGACCCAGATGGAGTTCTGGGCTCCCAGATTTGGCCTGGCTCAGCCCTGGCTGCTGTGGGCATTTGGATGGATGATATATTGCAGCCTCTGTCTCTGTCACTCTGCCTTGCAAACAGATGAAAATAAACAGACATTTAAAACATCATATAAAGTCTAGTCATTAACTTTGAAAAAAAAAGACAAAAACAAAAAACAAACTAGATCCTTGCTGTGCTAGGCACTGCTCATTCCTCCCCATGCCCTCCTTGGACAACACTTTAACCATACCAGATCCTGCTTCTGAAAAGCCACATCCCTGGGGTAGATTCATGGTTCATGAGGTAGGGTCAAATTTTGGTAAGAAGATACCTTCTGTATTTCAAATAGTCATAAGTGATTTGCTCTCATTAGGGGCTGACATGAAGAAGCCTTGTGAATATTATTTCTCAAGTATTAAACAAAAAACATAGCATTATTAGGAATGTACATTTTAACTCAACAGCTGGCTATAAAAGCACCGGAACATAGACTCTGATCACATCTGGTGCTTGTTAGGTTTCTCTCTGTTAGTCACAGTGAAGACCCAGGTAAATGTCTTAAATTTTTAATTAAAAGGTATTTCTGAAATAATGCCATTCCCCTGGCAGTGACCTCTTTTCCAGCTACATTTTTTTTCCAGAAAGCCTTTCAAAAGAGAGGTTGAGACTGGGACTGGCAGCTTAAGATCTGCACAGAGAGAGAAGCCTCACTTGGAGGTCATGCAGGATAACAGAGCACATTCCCAACTGACGCAGGGCAGGACTCCGGCTTCAGCAGAGCTCAGGCTGCCTCATTCTGCAGCCTTACAAAGTGCCGCTGGAAACAGGATGACTAATGAAGACAGGAGGTCATGTGGGACACAGCGTTTGTGGATGCAGGCCTTCCAACGAGCCACAGCCATTGGCGTGTACATGTATCACATGATCCCTAGGATCAAGCCTTTGTTGCTCTCCTTTCCAGCTTTCCCTCTACAAATTGCTTACTCTGTTCAACCTATCCCAGCATAAACGTGGCAGGCTCCTCCTGCGACCCAGGACAGAAAACCTGCCTTAATGCCAGCTGGTATTATCCTGAATTTCTCTCTCTGAATGCCCGCCATGCCATAAAGCTTCTGGGTCATTTATGAAATGAAATGAGGATCTCATCACCCAGAGTTTAAGATTTGCAGCTCTATAAGCACAACAGGAGCTCCTTGAAGTGCCCTCACACAGGACAATGCAGGAGCAATCCTAGTCCCTACCAGAACAAGGTGATACAAGTACCTTGGTACTCTCTCGTTTGTCTTCAAAAAGCTCCACTTTGAAGCAGGTGCCATTAAGGGAAACAGTAGGTGATCGGTCTGGGCCATGGAGTTCGGACAAGGTCAGAGCGTTGAGCTGCTCTTCCAGGGAGAGGACGAGGCCTTCGCTCTCTAGTTCTGTGGGATCCAGGGCCTGAGCAGGATGGAGAGACAGGGACAGCTGGGCAGTGGAGGAGGCAGCAACACTTCCTATTTGCTGCAGAGGTTCCCACTGTACAACATGGCATAGACCAAGATGTCCTGCAATTCCTCACCAGAAAATCCCCAGAGAAACCCTGGTCATGGAGGGTCTGCTGTTGTAGGTTTTTTTTTTTTTAACCAGATTAAAGATAAACAAATGATGAAACTTTAAAAAAACTTGCCAGATTACATGACTCTGTTACTTCCCAGTTAGAACAATATAATTAATTAAGCTGGTGATAGTCAAAATACATTATCATGGCTCCTGAAATAACATACTTCTCCTTCCACGAAGCTAACTTTTTATTTTCTATAATAATTTGAATTTTACACATAAAAATCCCCGTACCAACTAAAGGCAGAAAACACCTATAACTAAATCAACTTGATGACCTTCTGATATGCCAAAAAACATTCAGAAATGGCTTCCTTTTGAACAAAATGCCATTTTCCAGTCTAAGATAAAGTTTGTCTAAAACAAGAGAAACCATTAAAAACACCATTCTCATGCCATGGGAATGATCAAGATTAACAAAGACTGATGGAATAAATAAACGTCCCTCCTCTATTCCCCACTGTCCTATCCAGCAGGACAGTCAACGAGGGTTGCAACCAACCTAGGAATGAATGGGGGACAAGAGACACAAGAAACGGACAGCAAGACAGTATGTCTGATCAAGTTGACCAAACTTTTATTTTTTACACAGAGCTTTATAATCTGCAAAACAGGAACTATGGGTGCGGGGAAAGAGGAAATAAGCTTAGGGTATGGTTTCACAACTCTGTTTGGGTAGCTATTTCCCAGGCCCCCTTATGCTCACAAGAGGATGCCAGCAGACAGGGCATAAGCCAACATCCTGTCATGAGCACCAAGGGTGATCAGAGCAGGGTGAGCTGCTAAATGACTTGTAAACCACAGGGTATCTTAAAACTTGGTTTCTCTTGCACTTTGCTAGCTGGTGCTTTCCACTGACATTTCTCTATATTCAAAATGACTTCAATATGCCTAGATGATAAGGCTCTCAACACCCCACCATGAAACCCAGAACAGCGCTTCTTCTGACCCAGCAGACCAGATGCTGGGTGCAAGAGACAAACAGACTTCTGCAGTGTCCTCTCTGAGTTAGGTGTTTCTCTTACCGACTTCAGTAAAGAAAGATGACAGCAACACTGGCGGAGTCTCAGCAACTGGGACAATATGTGCGCGGTGCTGGACCTTGGTGAGTCTGCAGCCACGGAGGACCCTGGCCCACTGGACCCGAACTCCTGGGCCACTTCCAAGAGGGGAAACATGTCACAGGAAATAGTACAGGATTTAACACAGAGAAACACAGAGAAGGCAGGTTCTAACTCACTTCTAGACCAAGAAAACCAAATGAAATGCTGACTGTCCGTATAAACCTGATTGTACTATAAGACGACAAGTTTTGGTCACCCGGTATGAAGTTTGCAGATGAGTATATTTCACTTTGGTTTAGGATTCTGCACTAAGCTCCAATCTCTCTGACACCAAGGATTCCTGCTTTCTCTGACCGGCCAAATGTATGATGACAGCTCTACAGCTTACCTCTGCTGAAGGGATTAGCAGGACTTCCTCCTGATTGGTTGCTTCCACTCTCTTGCCTTCTGCAGTAGGACTGTAGAGCTGACCTGCCTCACATCAGAAGAGAGAAAAAACACGGATCAAACAGGTTTACAGTGAGGACTATTCAACTGTGCTTGTGGCAGGATTTTTGAATGATGGCCATCCCACAGGTGAGGCACAAGAAACAACTGCTTTAAAAAAAACAAAAACTTTTTAAAAATGAGCTAGTAAGTAAAAAGTAGGAAACAGAAAAACATATTTATACTTGAAATGAAAGGTAGGAGAAAATAATGCTGGAATTCAAAACAGGACAAGAGCTCCAGAGAAAATGGTGGGAACAGACAATATGAAGGATAGCAAGGCAGCTCTTTAAGTGTCAGTGAGACGCTGGATGTCCGGTCCAAGGTCAGCTTCTCCAATGCAGCTCCACACAGTTTGACTGCACGGTGTCTTGCCTATGATATCCATGCAAGGAACTAATGAAGAATAGGTTCCAAACTCTGCCTTCAGGGTGCGTATGACACACAAGGAAGGGAAGGAGGGAGAAAGGGGAACTAAAAACAGGTGGAATACAGATTTTCAACCTACTAATAATATCAGAAATATGGTTTATGTTAATTTCACCCTTGATTCACTTCTAACAGATAATAGGAATGAAACAACACAAAGAGAGGGGGTTTTGTCATTGTACACACCTTGACCTTGCATATAGGACACTGTATACAGTCTCTTCATCTTCAGAAAGCTCTAACTGGTGCAACTGAAATTTACGCTGCGGCAGCATCACCTGGAGGAAGGTGATTTTACATAAATTGACTGAATCTCGCATAGCAAATTCCCCAGACTTGACACTAGAAACCCAGCTAAGCCCTGCCAAGCAGCTTCCACCCCTGCCCACAATCACGGCCACTTTGACACAGAGCACAAGAGCTCCCCGGTATCAAGGCACAACTGCAGCCTGGGGTCTGCTCGAGAAATGGGAGGCTCTGGGCTCCTGAAGCATGGCAACTGGCTGCTGTCCCAGTCAGGACGGACAAGAACAGTGTCACCCTCCTCCCCACCAATCTCCCCCTGGCAAGGACAGGTCCACATTTGATTACCAGAGGTTTGCCTGTGGAATCCAGTTGGTCTTTTGTTCTCCTTAGCAAAAGGCTCTGGGTTAAAATACTTAACCGCTCTCCTCCTTTCTTTGAACCATTGTCAACCTGACTTCTCCACAGACTGAAATCATCAAATGGAGAACAACGAAGAAATCTTTTTTGTTGTGGATGAAGGACGCAGAGTAGGGAAGGACAGGTACCAGAGGAAAGAGTAAAGGTTCAAAGTGAGATACAAGATGAAAAACAAATCAGATTTTCTGTTACATCTGTCATCTAACCATTGCTAAGACTGCATTTCATAGCAAAGCTCTCTGTTACCCAGATCAAAAGGACTCAACTCAATAATGAAAACCACATTATAAAAACACCAAGTTTTCCCTTTAACAATGTCTCTATCTTCACAACAGGAGATATAACAGCCAGAATTTATTCCTGTAGCTTCAAAGGCTAGCAAAGATATTCAATATTCTGTGTAGGCTAACTTGAATAACAGGAAGCATTTGAAAATCAGCTTCGAATAAACGGTCATACTGACCCTACGCCATGTGTTTTGGAGCGGAGAGGCCTAAAACATTCACTGGACTATAGAAGAGTGACTTTTGTTTCCTTTAATTCAATTTGTCCCTAGGTTTTTGCATATTCAGGGGCTGGATGTAATCAAAGTCCTATATCAGGCAGTCAGTTAACAGATCTCTTTGCATAAATATTAATTCTCTTGCTGTTTCAAGGTTGATAGGCATGCCATCTGCTCCATGCACTCATCTGGCACACACTGGAGTCATCATGAGAGAGGAAGCAGCAATGCAGGGTATGGACAAGGTTCACATTCACATAATTCCAAAGAAACTACTCACTTCAGCAGGGAATACATATCCAACAAGTTGTTTTGAATAGGGGTTCCAGTAACGGCCCAACGGGCACGGGCTCGTAGCTTACACACAGCTATAGATGTTTGCACTCGGGGATTCTTCACATTGTGAGCCTCATCTAATATGATCCGAGCCCAGACTATTCGAAGCAAAGGTGTTGAGGTGCCCTGGAAAAACACAGGTGAAACCAAAGAACAATAGGGAAAATATACAGGTATTCAAGGTGATGGAGAAATAACACATATTGAGGACCCACTCTTACCTTCAAGGTACACTTAATAAGAGGTAAGAAGCCAATCACGGGAACAGATGCTAAGTCTAGCAGTTAAGACACTCATGTTCCGCACCAAAGTGCCTGGGGATGCTGGGCTGGCTCTGGCTCCTGACCCTGCTCTCAGCTCCCGGAAGCAGCGGTGCTTGCTCCGGGACTCCTGACCCTGCTCTTAGCTCCCACAGGCAATGGTGCTGGCTCCGGGATCCTGCTCCACATATGGTCCATGGCTCCTGGCTCTAGCCCAGCCCTGGCCCTGGCTGGCCTTTGTGGACATTTGGAGGGTAAATCAGCAGAAAGGTGCTCTCTTTCTTCCTTTTCTCTCTGCATTTCCATTTATTTATTCATTTATTTTGAGGAAAAGTAGCCAAGAGTAGACATGTACTGTTTTAAATCTCAGACCATAACGTCAGAGAGTAAAGGACCTTCAAATTTGAATTTTTATTTATTCTTTAAACCCACACTTGAGCAAAAGCTAAAAGTAAGAACTACATTGTGTGTAAAATTCACTCAATCAATAAAATATTTACTAAATCTCACTAAAATTCCTTACAAATGTGCTAAAAGTTTACTCCAGGTGTATGACCCATTTGCTGCTCACAAGAAGCTCCAGCTATAGCGCTAGGGACCTGGCTGTGTTTGTCCACAATGCATCCCTGATTCCTGACAGGACATCTCACACACTGCTCAACATTTACTGACCAAATAGCATGTGTGACCTGTGTAAACAGGAGGCACTAGATGAGGCATTCTAGCAAACTGTGGGGGAGTTGGGAGAGTAATCCAGAAAGGATCCTTGAAGCAGGGTAAAATAAATATCCTTTCATTCAGAGGGAGAACAGGAACAGCAAGGAGTGGTTGAGCATGAGAGGGCCACAGAAGGGAGAGGGTGGAGGATCGAGCAGAGGAGCCTAAAACGTCACAGAACAACAAAGAGTCACTGAGAAATCTGGAAGGCTCTTTATCTGGAAGGAGTCAAATTGGTCATAAGCCAGAGAAGCATCCTGAGAAATCAATGAATACCTTATTGTACTGAAAATAAAAGCTTATATAGAAGATCAGTTTTTGGTTCACAATATTTCCATTGCACATCTGAGAGCCTGGGACCCATTGATAAACTTTCAACATTCTGTGGCTATCCTTTAGCCATATCACTTATCATTTGGCACAGGTGTAGCCCCAGTTGTTTGGCCCATTTGTAGCCCCAAGTGTTTGCAATGACTTTTTCTGGGAAGCAGAAGAGAGACAGGAAATGAAACTTTAATATCACAATAAACAATGTCATGCGACTATATCCCAAATGCTCTAAAACAAAAACAGCAACGAGAGGTTTTCCTATATTTATGTATTACCATCACTGCAATGCAGTTTGTTATCTTTTGTTCTAAAACACAACTGAATACTGAGCCTTATCATATCCAGAGCTACAACTCTCATCACTGATGTGGTTATCTGGACATGGGGAGGAACTGTTCATTCCACAGGTAGAACGACTGGAGCATTCCTGACTTGACAGGAAGGTACCTTCGCCATGGCAAGGCTATGAAAAGCCTTACATCAAAGGACATGTGGCTCCAGCTCTACCTCCCTTGCCTTCCCCACGCCTCACCTCTATACTCAGCTCTGCACCTGGAACTTCTCCCTCGTGCTTCTTTGTAGGGATCTCCTTGGCCACAAGGCTATAGGTAGTGATCACGATGTCGTATGTTGACAGCCTGCATAGATACAACACAAAGCAGCAGTAAACAATTCCTCTACAGAATGCGACACCTGGAGATGGAGTTGACCTCTCCACATAAATGCCTGTGGCTGGAAGGACAGACAGCAGCATTCATTAACTTCTGTGTGTCTGTTACACACACACATACATGATTTTGGAATCATTAAATTTAATCCAGCTGGCTTCCCTATCGCTCACCCCTGATTATTTTTACAGGTAGCTCACCGCACTATTTGGCTAGTATAGCCTCCTTCTTCCCAGCCAATGAGTCAGAAAGGAAAATCTCTTGCTTAGGGTCATATTAAGCTTGATATACTCTGGCCAGGACAGTACGTGGGATAGGGTTGGCAATTAATATTTAATACTAATTTGAGATGGATGACACTGCAGTTGCAGGGAAGAAGAAAACCCTCCAAGCATCATATCAGCAGTGCTTCCTTCCCTACCCTCGCCTCACTCTACAGTGCATTTGTGAAAACCAGCTCATCTAAAAATGCATGCTTACTGTAAGCTACCAGCTTACCTTCCCTCCATCCTTTACATGTAAAGGTTCTTAATGAAAAGCAGATATTTTCCTAATAAAGCTTAATACTGTGCATTTCAGAGAACTTTGATAGTTCTGATAAGCATGGCATGTCTAATTTAGAGAGACAGCGATGTCTGCAACCTGCCTTCGGATCATATTAACCAAGAATGCTCTGAACAATGGATTTCTGAGTGTTAACACTGCAAATATGACCTATGTAAATATTCTGAAATCCAAAAAACAGCACTTCAGGGCCTGAGCATCAGATAAGGGATTCCTGACCTGCAGTGTATTCTGGATAGCAAACCAGTTGTGCTCAAAGCACAAATTAAGTGAGTGCTGCTCTATTTCACCCTAAACAGTTTAGAACAAAGGCCAGCACCGTATGGTACCCTACACCAGGGAAGAGGTGCACCCCTCCAGATGCCGCCCTGAGACCTTCTGTTTGCTGCAGGGACCACCAGTAGGAGAGTGCCAGTGTTACAGGTGGGGTAGCTTACTTCCAAAGGACTGCTGCCATGTTTTTTAGGAGATAAAACAGCCATCACCAGAGGCTGGGAGCAAAGATTACTCAGAAACAACCCTGTTCTCACCCCTGATCCTCACAGCACAATTACAACAGCAAAGAACTCCTTGAAAGACCAAGATGGAGGCTACAACTCAGACTCCAATCTGGGGAACATTTCCTTTCTTCTCTTGTGAGTATCCCCCTTCAAAAATTTACAGTTGACTTTAAATACCATAAATGTAAGCCTAAAGCCTCTTAGATGTGTGAAAAATAATGCCACAAAAATATACACAACCAGCCAATATCAACTGATCATGAGTATGATATCCCAATGCTCTGTTAGATTGGGTTGGTTCTAGTCTCACTCACAGAAAACAAATGTGAATTTGGATTCAGAGCTTGGGCCACTAGGCCCGCAGAACACTGTCTGCCAGGACATATTACTGCCTTCTGGCTGACAACTCAGGGACTGCAGCCCTGCTCACATGACAGCAGCTTTTGTTGGGGACAGTGACAAATCACAGAGAAAAAGAATACCATTTGCTCTCCCAGCCCAGGGTCAAGGCCATTCAGTTTCACAAAATACCACTCATATTGACTAAGCAAAAAAAAAAAAAAAAAAAGAGAGAGAGAGAAAGAGTGGGAACGTCAACAAGTTTGCATGTGATGCTCATGCACTCACACTTTGGCGTGTTGGGTCCGGAGCGGCCCGTGGTAGAGACAGACTCTGAGTTTGCTGCTGTTCACACGTTTCTCCACCTCATTCTTCCAGTGATGGATCAGAGAAGCAGGGCAGATGATCAGCGTTCCATGGGAGATAAAGTCAGCCGAGTCTTGAGAGGCAGAGAAAATCAATACCTAGTTATCCTCATTAAATAGCCTTTAACTTCTTAAAAGCATTGCCTCTTCTCCTTACTGGCTTTATTCCCACAATCAATATTTTTAACTGTTGTTCTTTCTACACACAGTCTACAGAATAGGAAACGCAGAAGATGGTCTTTTAAACCAAAACAATTCAGTATTTATTTTGTAGAAGTGTCAACAAGAAAGAAAAAGCTAAAGAAGAAAGTAGAAGAAAAAGCTAAAGGAAGCAGTGACCAAGTAGGCAATGTGCTCTCACACGGTGCCCACAGCAAGAATGCTGGATCGTTCCCTGATCCTCCTTGGTCACATCTTGGGGTACTGTTCCTTTTTTTTCTGAAAAGAGTAACTTATTATTACACTCATACATTAAAGTGTAAGTACAAACGCCTTTTCTAAGATATGTAAAGCTGACTTTAGAAGCAGTGAGTGACAGAGTGGTAGGGCTATCGCCCCGACCCTCACTCCCATCTGTGTGTGCCTGTGTGCTCTGCCAGCACCCCCACATCTACAGTGCACACAGCCCTGGGGCTCCCCTCTGTCTAACCACCTGAAAACTGTCCTTGTGTACATGACGACCTGCTAGTGCTGTTACCTATATATAATAAACAAGGTCTTTAAGGTACTTCTAACGCTATTACACTTTCAAAACACAGGTTAAGAAACAATCTATAATCTAGAAATGTCTGAAATTTCAGAAGCATGGAAAACAGTCTCTACTAGAGACTAAAAGAATTTGCAGTGGATCCTTAAAAAATAATACATTAATTCAGATCTACCACGTAGTTTTATATTAATATGAACAAAAATAATAACTATTATGCTTAAACTAAGTCTTCTGGAGCCTTAGCTTTCTCTATATTATTTTAATCACAGACCAAGCTAAGCTTATTTTAAAAGGGAAAAAAAAAAATGACCACTTATAATTAGCACACTCAGTATCAGAAATAATATCATAGGAAAGAAATCTAATACAGGCTTTCCAGCATTAATTAAATATGATCAAGGTATCCTTGTGTAATTTAACAGCTCCCTTTCTCTGGGGGCTCAAATGATGAAGGAGTGACATAAGGCACTTTTTGTCTACCATCTTTGGAAAGCCATGTCAAAGCCAAGCTTTTGTCCTTTTCTTTGTTGGCCTCTTGATTGTTTTGGGTCAGGATGAGTGCAATCATTGTCAGGGTTTTTCCCAGGCCCATATCATCCGCTGGAAAAGAAGCACAAAATTAAAGGAGTTAATTACTAACAGCAAAGAACCAGCATGAGAGCAGAAACCACCAATAGGCAAGTCCCCCTGATTCCCCCCATTGGTATCCGCCCCATCCAAGTCACTGCTCTTTGCCTGTCCTAGTGGATCCTCTCTCTTCCTTACTGAAACAAATTCTACCTCTATGCAATTTATTTTGAGATATAGGTCAAAAGCATTCACTACTACTCCTATAAAATTTAGAACTATTAATTTGGGTCTCACTCCTAGCTTCTATGTTATATTGTTACCTACCTAGCATGGAGATCAGTACCAATTCAATTTGATGATGCTGCCTACTCTTTTCATCTGCTAACTGAAAAAGTAAGCCAAAGTCCAGTAGATTTACCCCACCACCTACTCTACTGGGGCTACCACATACCTGGAGTTAAAGAGATAACTCAAAACCCTTACCTTAATCATCAGAAAAGGACATAAAGGAACATTTCTTGGGTAGTATCGTTGTGCCTGTCACTGAGATTATCTAATTTAATATTTACATCCTATAGGGAACTGTAATGCTCACTTTAACAGATGATGACACTGAGACTAAGTCATAAAGATATCAAATTTATCCAAAATAATCATTCTGGGGTAAGACAAGTACAATGTCTAAGCCTGGGCCCCATTCTGATTGTGGCTCTACCCCTGGACAAAACCGTCACCAGCGCAAGCCTCTCTATTGTCCTCTGGAGAACCTGTTCACTAGCTTGGACTCAGCTGCCAGTTCAGGAAAATTCTCACCATTTTAGAGCTCTGCCGAAATTGTATCAACAACAGAACTTCTGTTAACCACCTGCTGTCCTTCTCAGATTTTGGTATATGCCAGGTTAAATAAATCTGCCTTCGTGAGAAGCTCCCCATAAAAACCGTGGGCACTGAACCTCTGACAAGCTTCTCTCTCCAGTGAGGACCACTTCACATCTGCTGTCACAGCCCACCACTGCAAGGAAGCCTGACTTGGTCACTACTCCGAGACGACTCTGGAAGCTGGTGCATGGTTTGCCCTGGATCATTCTGGATCATCCTGGACCTGGTCCTGGTGCCTTTCCTTGGTGCTGACTTGGTCTCAATCCTTTCACCAGAATGACAGCTCCGAGTTGTTCTAGCAAATCAGTGAGCCAGGGGGTGGTCCTGGGGACCCCCCACACAGTCACTTTCTAGCCACAGAGAATATTTGTTGTGCTTGGGAAATTTTAGTCTGACAAGTCCCCAGGCAGGATGGAATTATCTTCTAGTTTCTGTGGCAACTAAGGCACTGGCCACATGGCCTGGGTCTTCATACCAGGAGTATTCACATGGCTCTAGGACTCTGATGGAAGTGGTGATGCAAAACCGGCTCTGTGCAAAACCCTTTCTGCAGGAAGGGGTGGGGATGGAGAGTCTGACTCTGTGGTGGCAATGGTCTCCTTTGCTATTTAGAGCAAAAGAGCCAGGCTGTTTTCCTAGAACAGTTTGTGACATGGCTATGGCCATTGCTCCTCAAAATGAGGGTGCCAACCTGGTATTACACACCTCCCAAAAATTTGGGGGTCACCACAGAATAGAAGCCTCCCCTGCTTAATCAGCCAGATCTGGTTGCTACTGCTTAACAGCCAACACCTCCCACAGCGGTGGGAGTCTGAGCCAGCTAAGGATTTCTCTACCTCAGTTTCCTCATCTGTAAATGGAACATTTTTGTACCTGCCCCAAAGAGGTGTGGGAGGATTGAATGAAACAATGAACAATGTTCAGTACTAAGGCATTCCAGGAATGATGGCACTTCTCTCAGTGGTACACTTACCCAGAATTCCTCCTTGTGGCTTCTGACTTTCCCGCCAAAGTAACCAGGCCAGTGCCTGCTTCTGGTGCAGCAGCAAAGGGACCTGAGGGATGCAATCACCAGATGTGAGGGGAACATCCTTACTGAGAGGCTAGGCCTGATCCAGGCAACACGATCCCTTCATGCCCTCATCTTCTATCTGAGATGCCCTCAATATTCCAGTTGTTAGCATACGAGCCGCTTGCCTCACCAGACAGTCCCTGATACCACCCACTCACGTGGGGTCCTTCTCATGTGGGACACACTTGGACCCAGGGTGGCTCTGTGGGCGTTTATGCTGTGGCTTTTGTCTAATGGCAGCCTTACTAGTGAGAGGCTCTCGCTCCAGCCCCAGGAGAGTCCTGGTTTGCCTGCTTCATCAAAGTCACTTTCTACTACTTGTGACTAAGACCTCCGACTGGTCGCCCCACTATCACCAGCCATTCTGTGGATGTTTCCTGATCATCTCTTAACTCGGACTCTCCTCTCTGCAGTCATCCCCATCTGTATTGCTTGTCATATATATCAATAGCCCTTTCACTGTGCTCTCCCTTCTAGCTGCTTTGTAATCAAGTTGCCCGTGGACACTCGAGAAAACAATCCTTCACAAAACATCCCTGCTTGAAATGGTATAGGGAACACATGATGCCATCCAGCCATTCACATCTGAGTTTCTCTGCCAGTGCCAGGCTCCACAGCGAGGGAGTCCTCCCCTGCTCCTCCCAGCACGGGCACTGATGACACCTGATCACCAACTATTAACTCACCTCTGTATCTTCCTCTGACCACCCTTCCCTCCACTTAAAACCTTTTGTTACTCCCCTCCTGCTGTCTGTAGGCTTGCCGTTCCTTTCGGGTACAAAGGAAGCAGGCCACAAATGACGACTGGCCTTGAAAGTGACTTTCCTTTGATTCTGAATCCTTTTTGTGTTTAGTCTTCAGTCTATAGCACATGGCAATGCACACTTCATTTTATGCTAGTCATTCCCTGCTTCACATATGTTGGATAGGCATGTTCACCCCATTTAGTGCCTGTAAACAGCGATTCTTTTGCATACTTGTGGCATCAACCAAAACTCAACAAACAGATCCTTTACTGCTACAGAAATGTGTGATGCTATGAATTTTTTTAAAAAATTATTTTTTGCTATTGCTTCCACTGCTCCATGTGAAAGGAGAAAATGCAGCAAGGAAAGCAGCTCTCTAGCTGCAGAAAAGCTGAGTCCGGCTGGCATTCTAATGGGACATTTCACAATGGCCTCTTTCTAGGAGCTCTGGGCACTGCCAGGACTCCCTGTCCAAGTCTGCCCTGGCTCACCTTCAGCCCAGCTGGATCTTCTGCCTCAGCTTCCTCACCAGGTCGGGACTCAAGGGATCGATGCAGCTCATTAATGGCTTCACTGGTGATTTTCCACACTGTGTGAAGGTAATCTTGCTTCTTATAGCCTGTATACAAATAGGTGTTAGCCAAAGACATCTCAGGGCCAGAGCTGCAAAGAGGCAACGAGTTCATGGTCTGATGACGGATAGGGTTGTTTAATACTGCTTGCCTATAGACACCTAGTCTCACAGGCTCTTCCATCCCCTCCCCCCCCCACCCCCGCCTGTTTTTAAGATCACATCAGCTCTTGTTACATTATAGGACAGAGCAAGAGAAAATATAAGGACAAAATAAGATCATCTGTGGTATTTTTAATACTGAAGAACTATTTAAGCAAAGAGTAGTGCAGAAGTTATGGTGAAAAGGTAATGCCATTCAGCATTTTAGGAACGAAAAATCCCTAGAGGTGGATGGAAAGAAGTGAAGTCAGTGAGAGAAAAGGCCACACTGGGAGTACGCAGAGGTGAAGGACTCAGGCAGGCAAGCACCAGAGGGTCACCAGCTCACCGCAATGGTACTGGGAAATAATTTAGTGCTGCTCATCCACTCCCTCCAGGCACAGAACATTGACAAAAATGAGCAACTGAGGGCCCTCAGCTGTGCACCGTTTTTAGGAGGAAGCATTCCAAATAAGAGGTTTTCAAGGTTGCTAATCTGATACAGTTGTGGTGCCACCAGCCTTATGGTTGAAATCCCAGCTGCTCCACTTCCAATCTAGTTCCCTACTAACGTGCCTGGGAAAGTGGCAGAGGATGACTCAAGTGCTTGAGCCTTCTGCACCCACGGGGGAGACCCAGACGAAACTCCTGGCTTTGGCCTGCCTCAGCTTCAGCTGTTGAGGCCATACACAGTCAGTCAGCAGATGGAAGATCTCTCCCTCTCTCCCTCCCTCTTTCTGTAACTCTTTCAAATACATAAATCTTAAAAGGTTGTTTTTTTTTTAAAAAAAAAGAAAGGTTTCGGGCCTGGCGCGGTGGCGCAAGTGGGTAAAGGTCCTCACCTTGCACACCCGGGATCCCATATGGGCGCCGGTTCTAATCCCGGTGGCCCTGCTTCCCTTCCAGCTCCCTGCCTGTGGCCTGGGAAAGCAGTCGAGGACAGCCCAAAGCTTTGGGAACCTGCACCCGCGTGGGAGACCCGGAAGAGGCTCCTGGCTTGGGATCGGCATAGCATCGGCCCGTTGCGCTCACTTGGGGAGTGAGTCATCGGACGGAGGATCTTCCTCTCTGTATATCCGCCTTTCCAATGAAAAAATAATAAAAATGGATCTTTAAAAAAAAAAAGAAAGGTTTCTAAACAGATGAAAACTATTTAAATGTTAAATCAAACCTTTTAAAATGAAAAACTACCTGTATGGATTTTTTTCCAAAACAAAACCACACATTCTTGCTTTAATAATCTAACCTAATTCTCCCTGGGTGACTCGGGCACAACACTGTTTGCTGAATAATGGTGTAACTTGGCAATGTCCCCCAAAGCCTCCTGGGCAGCCCAGGGTATTTATGCCACTAGAGGAAGGATGTTTTCTCCCTTTTATGGTGACCTTAGCTTCAAATGGCATTGGACGTACTATCTGTCCCCCCTTGCTATCGAATGCCCTTTAAACTTTTCTGTATCTCTACTAGTTCTCAGCTGGAACTGGCTCATGCTGCTCCAGTCACTGCCAGCCAAACTGCGCTCCTGATTCCTGATCAGCAAAGCGGCCAATCACGGCATCCACTCGTGTTTAGGCTCCATCAAGGATCTTTATTTTGCAGTCACTTTTTTTTTTTAAAGATTTATGTATTTATTTGAAAGACAGAGCAACAGAAAGGAGACAAAGATTATCCATCTGCTGATTTATTACACAAATGGCCAAAGCAGCCAAATCTTTGCCAAGCCAAAGCCAGGAGACAGGAACTCCATCCTGGTCTCCCACATGGTGGTAGGGAACCAAGTAATTGGGGCATCAACTGCCGCCTTCCAAGATAATATAGCAGGGAGCCGGATCAAAGGCAGGGGAGTGGGGACTTGAACCAGTTCTCTAACAGGGGATGCCAGCATCAGAATCAGTAACTTAATCTACTGCACCACACCACTGGCCACCACTGCATTCCCTCTGAATTTAAGGCTGTATTTAAAATTCAAGATGGAAACATATGGCTAAATTGGATGTTACTGATCTCTGTGAATCTATTAACCATTATTCTTCACTGATGTCACTTCTCTACTTTGCCCTAAAACACACACACACACACACACACACAAAAATAAAAATGTAGCTACTGGTCTACCTACCTCATTAACACCAGGAACTAGAGTTTTCATTCACAAATATTGATGGCATACAGAAGTGAACACGCAATCCCTACATTCACAGGAATCTAAGTAACACTGTGCAAAGCTCTACCTACATGTGCAAGCTACAACTCAAGAACAGCTCCTCAGACCTGGCACTGTGGCCCAGTGGGTTAAGCAGCTCCCTGCCATGCCAGCATCCCATGGGCACCAGTTTGAGTCCTAGCTGCTCCACTTCCAGTCTAGCTCCCTACTAATGCATGTGGGAAAGCAGCAGAGGCTGGCCCAAGTGTTTGGGCCCCTGATCCCTTGGAATCAGCTCTTAGCTTTGGGCTTTAAACTGCCCCAGCCCCGGATGTTGCAGCCATTTCGGGAGTGTAACAGTGGATGCAAGATCTGTCCCTTTGTCTTTCCTCAAAACCCACAAACATGGGATCTCTCCCTCCACAGAGGAACAGAGATGCCAATAGACAGCAGTGAACTCACAGCAGGACCGAGTTCTTGCCCTTACCTCCGCAGGACTGCCCAGGGCCAGCAGCAGTCACCTGGCCTGCAGTGGTTAGCCCTAGAGAACCCACGGGCTGGAGATCACGACACGGAAGTGGTTGAGGAGGCACCAAATGGGGAGGGTCAGTGGTACTTTTGGTGAAGTTGCTCTTTTGTGGCACTTGAGTGTTGCTCTTCTGCTCAGTTTCTGTTTAGGAAACAAGAAAAAGCAGTTTACAGTTCAGAAAAGCAGAAAAGGGACTACAGGTATGGAAGTGTGGACAGAGAGGGTGGAACCATCACCACTGCAAGGCTTCCTGGAGAACGGCTTTTCACAGGTGCTTAAGCAACCAATGGCAAAGAGAGTTTGATGCTCAGGAGATAGGAGAAACATTTTATAGATCACAGGACAACTTAAAAAAGCTCAGAAGCAGATAATAAAATGGAAAGGTGAATACACAACATGCTGTTTATCAGCATGGCTTCCCAAAGCCTCCTAGAGCTGACGCAAGCCTGAGTTCTGAAACACAGCTCACTTTACCTGGTTCTGGAGAGAGGGCAAGAGCACTGAGTGCTTCCTCCAGCTCCTGGATTTGCTTGAGCAGCTTCTGACCCTTGTCTGGAAGGACCTGGATATTCACCGAGGCCAGTGTGCTCTGAAAAACAGACCCGGTAAAATGCACCTCTCCTCTCCTTCTGTTAGAGGGAGACCAGGGGATCAAAACAGCCTCCCATGCCAAACTGTGAAAGATGGTCTTTTAACAGACTATCCCAGTGATGGAATCAAAAGTGCTTAGAATGTCAAGTTTTTTATTATTTTTTTTTCAGATTTTGGAACATCTGCATATATGAAGAAACTTCAAACATTCATAGAAAAAAATTTTAAATGATACATATTTGCCATGAAACTTTTTTATTTATTTATTTTTAAAGACTTATTTTATTTTTATTGGAAAGTCAGAAATACAGAGAAGAGCAGAGCAGAGACAGAAAGGAAGATTCTCCATCACCCCATTTTACTCCCCAAGTGGATACAAAGGCCGGAGCTGCGCTGATCTGAAGCCAGGAGCCAGGAAGGTCTTCCAGATCTCTCACGTGGATGCAGGGTCCCAAGACTTTGGGCTGTCCACCACTGCTTTCCCAGGCCACAAGCAAGGAATTAGATAGGAAGTGGGGCTGCCAGGATTAAAACCAGTGCCCATATGGGATCCCGGTGCATACACGGCAAGGAATTTTTTTTTTTTTTTTTAAGATTTATTTTTATTATTTTTTCATTGGAAAGGCAGATATACAGAGAGGAGAGACAGAGAGGAAGATCTTCCGTCCGATGATTCACTCCCCAAGTGAGCGCAACGGGCCGATACTATGCCGATCCGAAGCCAGGAGCCTCTTCCGGGTCTCCCACACGGGTGCAGGTTCCCAAAGCTTTGGGCTGTCCTCGACTGCTTTCCCAGGCCACAGGCAGGGAGCTGGAAGGGAAGCGGGGCTGCCGGGATTAGAACCGGCGCCCATATGGGATCCCGGGCGTGCAAGGCGAGGACCTTTAACCACTTGCGCCACCGCGCCGGGCCCTACACGGCAAGGAATTTAACTGCTAGGCTACCTTGCCGGGCCCTTGCCATGAACTTCTTAAGGTTGACTCATATAAGACATCTTCGAAATGGAACTGCAGTCTAAACACTAAACTTATGTTTCATACATACCTTCTACATATAGCCTTACTTTTTTCAATGTTTGTAGTTATTTGAGAAGCTGCAACATAGATAAAGGAAGGTGGGGGAGCTCCCAAGTGGTGGTTTACTCCCCAAGAGCCCACAAGGGCCCAGGATGCAAGTGAGGAACCGTGTACAGCCATATTGTTTGAGCCATAACTACTGCCCCCCAAGGTATACAAGAGCAGGAAGCTGGAGTCAGGAGCCAGTGCTGGGTACGAAACCTAGTGTTCAAGTACCTACATTCAAGTCAGGTGTGAAATTTCCCTCTTGTTGGCATGATGTCTGTATTCAAAAGTTTGGAGGAAATTTGGGATTCCAGATGTTTGGAACTGCTCCTTATCCTTCTAAGAACAAATGTAGACTTTCAGATTAGACATGCTAAACGTGTATGTATGCGAAACCAGGACTTTTTTTTTTTGTTTGACTCAGCTGGCTCACCAACATGAGAACACAAACAGGAAAAGGCAGAAGCTGACGGCTGAGGTGCACCTGTGAAAGCTTCACACGCAGACACTGAGCTCTTGCAGAGGGGCTCCTGTCTGAGCACAGCAGACAGTGCTCTGACCTCAGACACAAAACACATATGCAATCTTACCTTCTTTTGTTTCAGTTGCGTCGTCAGGCGCCTGCGCTGGGCTGCAGGGTCGGAGGGTTCCACCTTCTTGGGGACGACTGAGGCAGGAGGGGGCTTGCTGTGCACCCCTGGAGCAGGCAGTGGAAGGCTCTGCTCCTTCTCAGAGTTCAGGGTCGAACCGAGGAGCAGAGGGCGGCCTGGATGAGAGCTGCTCACAGGATCATCATCACCCTCACTATCCTCGCTGCTTGTGGCAGCTGCACGCCCCTCTCCTGGGGACGGCCCCGGGGCTGCCCGCCCTTTGGAAGTGGCCCCTGGACACTTGGACGGTGGCTGCGAAGGTGCCAAGGAGAGCCCTTTCTGGTGAGACTGCACTGCAGTGTTTCCCACACCCTTCGCCCCTGCCGTCGCCGGCGTTGCGGGCTGCTCCTTGCCGAGGGAGCCCCCTCTCCAGGGCTGCCCTGCTGTGTCCGGTCGGGGTACGTTCCGAGGTAAAGGCTCGGTCTCCTTCACTCCCGGAGCTCCTGACCCTTTCTGGCTACCTTGACTCTCACAGTTTGGTCTTTCCTGAGAGGCAGATGGTCTGCTTAACTCACTCCTCTGATGCTGTTTGGGTTTCATTTCGGGCAAGTTTCTTTGGTGTGTGCTTTCAGTCTCCTTGGCTACACGCGGCAACTCCTTTCTCTCGGCTTGCTTCTGCCCCGCAGCTGCAGGCTGCGGTTTCTTCAGCAGCACGCCAGAAGACAGAGCTGTCCCCGCCTGGCAGTTAGACCCAGGCTTCTGCTCCTTCTTGTGCCCTAAGAGTTCCTCACTCCTCTCCTTGGGCTTCTCCGCCGCCTTGTCCTCAGCGTCCCCTTCGAGGAACTGTTTCCAGAGCGCCGGCTCTTGATTCTTGTCCAGCACCTTGAATGGGTTCCTTGGCTGTTGGAGAGGATGACGGCATGGCTCCGGGGCATGCTGAGGCTTACTGCTCACAGAATGTTCTTTGTAGTTAGGATCCTAAAGACAATGGAAATAAATATAATAATTAGGGTCTTAATGAAATGAATATACAGTAGAATACATTAAGAGCAGATGGAAACACATTAAAAGTAGCCCAATACTTCTGCATCTAGAAGTTACTAGATGCCCAATTTATAAACTGTTGGTTTTTTTTTCTTTAATGCTGGAGTTTTATATTAATTAATTAATTGGAAAGTCAGATGTACAGAGAGGAGAGAAGGAGAGAAGGATCTTCTGTTTGTTGATTCACTCCCCAGCTAGCCACAATGGCCAGAGCTGTGCCGATCCGAAGCCAGGAGTAAGGAGCCTCTTCTGGGTCTCCCACAAGGGTGCAGGGTACCCAGGCTTAGGACCATCCTTGACTGCTTTCCCATGCCATAAGCAGGGAGCTGGATGGGAAGCAGGGTTGTCGGGATTAGAACTAGCGCCCATATGGGATCCTGGCATGTGCAAGGTGAGGGTTTTAGCTGCTAGGCTACCACACCGGGCCCCAAAGTATTAGTTTCTTAACAGTGTTTTCCATTCTTGGTTCCTGTTTGGACCATGATCATGTTTTTCCAGATCTCAAGCAAAAGCAGAGACCAAAACAAAGTGCTTTAACTAACTAACCCAACAGCCACAATTGACATCTTCCAGGAAAACTGTTCTTTCGGAACAAACTTTGCCCCAACCCTAACTACTGTCCTATTACGCTAGCTTTGGTTTTGGCTTGAGGGGGATTTCACGGAGGGGATCTAGAATCACAAGCTTAAGCCATACCTCTGACCAAGAAGGTCTTGCCACGTACTAGGCTTATACTTGTTCATGTACTGTGTACCTACAGTCTCTCCTAGTTCTAACATTCTAGCAGCTTATGAATTAATTCATACCAATATCAAGTAGATACAGGTCTAAAAACAAGATGCTAGAGTTGGTCAAGAAATCTTTCCTAAAAATGACTGCCTTTAAATCCTTGAAAAATCATTAACTGAAAATATGAGGCAAAAAAGGTAAATCTTGGTTCTATGAAATAATAGTCCCAAAGGGGTCTAACTTGCTTAAAGAAAACTTCCAGGGACTAACGGAGCCCCAGCTGTTTGCACAGGCATGAAGGACTTTTCAGGTGATGCCACATTTTAAACAATCTCAGCAGATTTGAAAATAGAGGAGTACTTCCTACCTGCCATGGAACACTTCCACACCAGTGCTTCCCCTCAGCTTTACTCCTGGTGCATCGGAAGAACAACCTAGCAAAGAAAAAACACAAGTAACCAATGGTGTGAAAAAAACCCACAAAAGATAGGCTTGCCATTAACCCAACAAAACATCTGCCAATTATTTGATTCTGTCATCAGAATGTCATTTGAAACCAATTACTCTTTTAGGTACATAAGGTAAGTCTTACCACACAGGGCGTGTGTAAAGGCTAGGAAGTCAAAGGATAAAGATGGCACCAAAACTAGAGAGTGGGTACAGGCCTTTTCTGCTTATTCTGATGACCAAGGGATGGGTGTTGAGACCGAGTGGCTGAGGTGTTAGGTAGGATGCTTACAGCCCATCCAGTGGCTGGATTAGATCAAAGGGTCCTGCTACTACAGACACTGGTAAGCACCAGTTAGTGTACGAATTATGAGTAGATTAATAAATGTCATCAGTCTTTTTTTTTGCTTTAATCAACATCTGAATAAGATTCACAAACTGCAGTTGATTAATAACACTCCTAGGTCTGTTAAATTTCCCCTCCGTTTTTCTCTGCAGTAACTTATTGTTGAAGGAGGCAGTTTGTTTTGTACTATTCTGTTCTCCGCCCCCCCCGACAACATTTTTCAGATTAAATTTCCAGTGTTTCATTCTATGTGTTCTTCTGTTTGCATTTCCCATAAACTAGTAATTGGATCTAGAGGTTTAACCAGATTTCAGCTTAGTATTTTGGCTTAGTTTGGCTGGAACTTTTTGGCAACATCAATTTATAGGTAGTGTGTAGCCCTTCCCCAAGGACAAACAGTGCTGATTCTGCTTGCCTTTCTGGCGCTGGCAGCCACTGCTCACCACTGTCTCTGCTTCAGCTATTCTGCACAAACTGACAGAGTTAGCTGAGAGACAAAGAGAATGCCCATCTGCTGGCTTACTCTGCAAACGCCTGCAACCACCGCTGGCCAGGTCTCCCGTGTGGGGGCCAGAACTCACTCCCCGTCTCTCTCTGCAAACCTGCCTGCCCAATAAAAATAAATCTTAAAAAAAAATACAATTTGTAGAGATAATGTAGTTAATTAAGACATATACAATAAGTAGTAAAAGGCTATCCGCCTGATCAATCTCCCTTTTAAAAGAAAAAAAGATTTATTTATTTTTATTGGAGACTCAGATATACAGAAAGATGAGACAGAGAGGAAGATCTTCCATCCAACGATTCACTCCCCAAGTGACCACTACGGCCAGTACTGCACTGACCTGAAGCCAGGAGCCAGGAACTTCCTCCAGGTCTCCCACAAGGGTGCAGGGTCCCAAGGCTTTGGGCCATACTAGGCTGCTTTCCCAGGCCACAAGCAGGGAGCTGGATGGGAAGCAGGGCTGCTAGGATTAGAACCGGTGCCCATTTGGGATCCCGGCGAGTGCTAGGCGAGGACTTCAGCCGCTAGGCTACTGCACTGGGCCTTCAACCTTCCTCTCAACTTGCAGCCACTCTTATCAGCTTTTTGCTTGCCTTACCAGAGATGTCTAAGTGCATATTCAAGCCTGAATATATATAAATATACATAATATATTTAATATATTATATATTATATCACTATATTAATATTTAATATATCAATCTATAATAAATATAAATACATATTCAGGATTTCTTCCTCCTCCTTGCAAACGGATAATAAATGTATTACAAGCTGAGCAGACCTATTCTGCAACTCCAAAATCCAAAATGCTCCAAAACCTGAAATCTTCTACACATCACGTGATCCCCAAGGGAAGAGTGCTGTACCATAAAAGTTTGTTTCCTACACAAAATTATTACAGATACTGAACACAGTTCCTTTCGACCATGTGTATAAAACGTACATGAAACAATGAGTTTTATGTTCAGATTTAGATATCATCCCCAAGCCAGGATGTCTCCCTATGTAGTCACATGCAAAACAATTTCAAAACCTGAAATCCAAAAAGCACTTTCGATCCCAGACATTCTGGATAGTGAATGACCAAACTATATCAAATATCTTGCCTCTTATTTTTAAAAGTTTGAAAGGCAAGTGACAGAGACGAAGAATAAAAGAGATAACCATCTGCTAGTTCACTACCAAATAGCCACAATGGCCAGGACTGCGCCAGGCCAAAGCCAGGAGCACGGAGCTCCAGCCAGCTGTGCGCAGGGGTGGCAGAGCCCTACGTGCTCGGGCCAGGAGCACCAGCAGAGGCTGGATCCAAAACAGAGCAGCTGGGACTCAGACACTCTGATACGGATGCCGGAGTCAAGAGCAGCGACTGATCCTGCTATGCAACAATACCACGTCTCTGGTTTTCTTTTTTTTTTTTCCCCACTCCATTTAATTTATGAATATGCCTTGGTATTGTTCTGTAAGCACATTTACCAAAAAAAAAAAAAGCTTCCTCATACATATACATCTCACAGATATAAAATTTTCTATTAATGGATGTTGCATTATTTTTAACCAGATCCCAAAGTTGTACTGTTTCCAATATTTTACTGTTGAAAGCAAAGTCACAAAAAAATAACATTGCGTACATGTCGTTTCACATGTTTCAACACAACTGCAGAAGACTTTCTAATTTTTCATATTGTGAATGTGTGCTTTCTGCTTTTATCCACCAGGTCAGCATCTGGATTTTAATAGCTGTCTTTGCACGATTCTCTAACTCCTTCAGCTTTTAGCTACATAAGTTCCTTCCTTCTGCGTTCCTTAGAGCTTCATTTTCTAACTTCTTAAATGTTCCGTGATGCACAATATAAATCACACTAATCTGCGTCCTATCCCTAGACGGATCCTGCGTGGGTTTCCGGTCCCCCACTCTGCAGTCTTCACTGCACCGAGGCAGGTAAGCAGACATAAACTTGCCCCAAATGTTCCAGTTTTCCCTGAAGCTGAAAAGAAAGCATCCATCCTCTCCCTCTCATACAATTCCCCCTTTCAAGTTCATGATAAAAAAAAAAAAGGTACTAATCTCTGTCATTTTTCTTACTGTAGTAGGATATTAAGTTGAGCACATATAACACAAATTTCTGAAATTCTTTAAATGCATAAAATTCAAAGTCCTGGCTACCATTAGAGAATACTGCTACTTATAAAAATAAGTCAAGATCAAATGCTGTGGCTGTTTGATGCATACTGGGTACTCAAATCTGTTCTGAGACCATTTTACGAGCAGTACCTATTTTATAGCCGAGGCCACGGAGACTGGGAGAACGAAGAAAATACTTCATTCTGAGCATCTGCTATGTACTAGGCTATGTACTAGGGACGGAGCTAAAAATTCTCTTTACTGATATTTTTAATTGAAATCAATCTGGTCAGGCTTCTCTGTTTTTAGCATTATATGCTTCCATTATGTTTATTAAATTATAAATCAACAAAGATGGCAGTGGAAATATATTCTCACCGTGAAAGTAAATATTGATTCTACTATGAAGACCTGCATAATGTCTCCAGGATGTTAATTATTTTCCAGAACACAGATTATAAATAACAATGATGGGTAAACCAGATCAATCCTGTCTCCTTTACCAGAATAAAACCCCTCCTTTCTCACTGTCGGTAACCAAGGGATACCAGCACCATCCCCACAACTGCAGGCTGGGAACCTCCCAGGCTCCGGCACTGTTCTCCCTTGGTTCAAATCCCACCCCCACTGTAAAATTAGCTCTGAAATATCACTTTACTCAAAATCTCTTTTCTGTAAAAGGATAAAAGATTAATAGCTGCAATTTCATATGGTCATTGTAATGAGTAAATAGTAAACACATGTGAAAATAAAAACAATCAGTAGCAGCCGTTGGCCTGGTGGTTACGCCGTCGGTTGGAATGCCCGCATTTCATCTTGGAGCGCCTGGGTTTCGGTTCTGATTTCAGCTTCCTGCTAATGTGCACCCAGGCAAGCAGCAGGTAATAACTCAAGTAGCTGCAACCACCGGTGACAGAGACCTAGGTAGACTTCCCAGGTCCTAAGCTTCAGCCTGACCCAGTGCTGGCTGTGGTAGATGTTTGGGAATGAACCAGCAGATCACTGTCTCCCAAACCAACAAATTACATATTCAGTTTAGAGAGTGTAAGGTGAGATCAACCTGTTCCCTACCATCGGTAAGGCTAACTCTTAGCCCATTTGCGTCTAAGGGCCCTTACAGTTACAAGTCCATGCCTTACACACTCCAGCATCGGAAAAACAAAAGGCTAGCTCTCTACCTCAGTCTTTCATGTTCAAATTCAAGATGAAATAAAAAAGTAAATGTGAAGAGCAGATTCTAAGTGATGTGTGTGTCAGGGGGATGAACATGTTTAGTGCTGTGGTTAAGAACGCCTGGGGGCCCAGAGCGATGGCGCAGTGGTTAAGATCCTCGCCTTTCACGCCCGGGATCCCAAATGGGCCCTGGTTCTAATCCCGGCAGCCCCTCTTCCCATCCAGCTCCCTGCCTGTGGCCCAGGAAGGCAGTCGAGGATGGCCCAAAGCTTTGGGACCTTGCACCCACGTGGGAGACCCAGAAGAAGCTCCTGGCTTTGGATCGGCATAGCATTGGCCGTTGCGCTCACTTGGGGAGTAATTCATCAGATGGAAGATCTTCCTCTCTGTCTCTCTCCTCTCTGTATATCCGCCTTTCCAATAAAAATAAAATAAATCTTTTTTTTTTTTTTTTAAAAAAAAGAACATCTGGGAAGCCCACAACCAGCACAGCCAGAGTTCCAGGCCTGGGTCTGCTTCTAATTCCAGCTTCATGTTAATGCACACCTGAGGGGCAGGGTGATGGATGAGTACGTGGGTCCCCATCATCCACAGGGGAGTCTAGGACTGTGAACCTGGATCTTAGCTTTGGCCTGGACCAGCCAGAGCCGTTGTGGCCATTTCAGGAGTGATCAATTAGTTGGAAGATCTCCCTCCCTCTTTTTCCCTCTCCCTCTCCCTTTCAAGTCCCTCTCCCATTCAAATAAAAAACTAATGCTCCAGGGGAAACAAACGAACAAACAAAACAGAACAGAGGAGATCAATCTTTTTGTATATCGAAAGGGAAGGCTTTTTATAGTATGACATACAATTCTGAAGTGAAAATACAAATTTGGTCAGTTTAACTAAGAAATGGCAAAAATACTATATGTGAAACTAAGAGACAAGAGGCAACCAGGAAAAATGTTAATTACACAAACCAATCCATTATGTGCAGGGATCACATTGGCTGCACAGCACCACTTGTGACACTGTACACCACCAAGTCCTGGCTTCACTAAGCACTATTCTTCACACACTGGTGGGGCCTGAGGTGCTTCTGCACAGGTCTGGCCCATCCCTGAACGCCCTTCTATCATCAACCTGTTATACTGCGGCTACAAAATCTGTACATCAATTTCACCCAGTAACCAACAACACAAGTTTTCTAGACATGCAAAACTTGCTGTGTTATTAAACTATTTAGGGGTTATTAAACTATCTGATGTTAAGATGTCAGTTGAGAGGCCTGTGTCCCATACTGGAGAATCTGAGCTTAATTTCTTGCTTCGACTTCTAATATAAGTGTTGTGCTAACGCAGACCTTGCCAGGCAGTAATGTTGATTCAAGTAATTGCGTTTTTATCATCCATGTGGGAGACATGAAAGGAGTTTTCTGGCTTTGGATGGGTGGACATTTTGGGAATAAATCAGTGGAACTTTCATTCAATTTCCCTCTCATTGCCTCTCAAAAAATAAATAATTAAGGCACCTGCATTGCAGCATGGTAGGTAAAGCTGCAGCTGCTCCATTTTCAATCCAGCTCCCTGATAATGGCCTGGGGAAAGCAGCCAAGGCTCACCCATCACTCATGTGGGAGACCTAAAGGAAGCTCCCAGCTTTGGCCTGGCTCAGTCGTGGCCAGTCATGTCTCTCTGCTTTCCCCTCTCTGTAACACTCATATTTCCAAAGAAATCTTTTAAAATGAGTAAATATCTTAAAATGTAATAATTTAAAAATACATACCCCGAGTACCCCACTATCTGGTTGTGGCAGCAGGGCTGTGGCCGCGGAGGCTTGCACCCCACACCGGCACCCCTGGGTGTGAGGACTGGCTCTGCACCTAACTGCAGCTTTGTGCTGATGAACATCTTGGAGGGGACAGTGATGACTCAAGTCACTGGGTCCCTGCCACCCTGTAGGAGACTTGAACTGAGATCCAGGTTTGTGGCCACAGCCTAACGCAGCTCCGACTGTGGCAGACATCTGAGAAGTAGGCCAGAGGATACGTCTCTCTGCTTCTCAGAAAAAAAAATTAAAAACAAATTTATCGAGACCAAAAATAACAACACTAAAACATGTCTTAATTATTCATGGGCCTCATATCTTAAATATGAGAGAAAGAAAGAGACAACATGAATTGAGGACCTGGATGACAATCCGTTAACATGTGACCCCTGAGTGTACCACATCTTTCATTTCAGTCTCTTCCTTCTGGTTCTACAGACCATCCCAGTTTTCACCTTTGCCTGGGCAGACGGCCACGCTGAGAGCTGCTCAAATGCTGGTGAGTGATACCACCTGGTGTCTAAACCTGAGAACTACAACAAGGGAACAAACAGCCGGCCTCTGCTTCAGATTACACCATGTTACATGTATTACTCTGCTTCACCTGTCTCGTGGCTGTAAACTAAACACATGGTATTAACTGCAGGGTGTAAAAATACACTAAAACCCATAAAAGCACACAAATTCACCCATGCTCCAGAGTATAAGGCTACACACCCTTACTGTCGGCTGAGGACGGTCGCTCCCAAGTTTGTTCCTTTCTGTTTAAGTCACAACATGCGCCTCCGACCAAGGTATATGTTTGTTTTTTAAATTTTCTGTATGGTAGGAACTGAATTTTATTTGTCCTAAAATAATCTTTTCAAATCTCCAGTAGGTATCTATTATTAACAGTGTTTTAGATTTGGGCTGAAAGAAATATATTTAGCGAATCCTTTTTCTTTTTTTCCTGTTTTAAAATACAGATCACCCCCTTGGCTTATCTATTTAATACAAATATATACATTTTTAGTTATCTCTTTATTTGTGGGTCAGAATTATGATATGGAAGATTAAGCCACCAGCTGTTGACGCCAGCATCCCGCGGACACTGAATCCTGGCTGCTCTCCCTCCAATCCGGTTCCCTGTTATGTGCCTGGGAAGGCAACAAAAGACAGCCTAAGAACTCGGGCCTCTGCCACCCATGCGGGGGACCTGGATGGAGTTCCACGTTCTTGGTTTCAGCTTGGCTCTGCTCTGGCTGTTGCAGGGTTAAACTAACAAATGGAAGATCTCTTTCTCCATCTCCTCCTTTCTCTGTCACTCTTTCTCAAATACATACATAAATCTTAAAAAAAAAAATCATAGAATAGCCAACACAATCATAAAAAAGAATAAAGTTGGAAGACTCATGCTATTTCATCTGATTACTTGTATTAAGAACATGCAAATGGATAAAAGCAATAGATTACCAATCCCACAAACAGACACACATACAGGATCAATTGCCTTTTTACAAAGATGTCATATATTTCAATAGAAAAAGAAAAGTCTTCAAAACATAGAAAAGCGAGACCCTGATAACATGGAAAATAAATGAAGCCCTAGCTCATTCAGTACACAAAGTTCATCTAAGGCACATAAATGTGAATACAAAAGCAAAAACACAAAAATCTGTAAGACTTGTAGGAGATGTACTGGAAGCATCTATGACTTGAGGTAACCAAAGATTTTTCAGAAAGGAAACTTAGAAACTCCTTCAAAACTAATAAAGTGAAAATCGGGACCAGTCCTGTGGTGTGTGGGAAAAGCTGCCACCTGAGACACCAACATCCCAAAAGGGCAGAGGTTCAAGTCCTGGCTGCTCCAATTCTGATTCAGCTCCCCGCTTAAACACCTGGGAAAGAGGCAGAGACGATGACCCCAGTACTTGGGCCCCTGCACCCATGTAGGAGATCTGGGCAAATTGCTTGACCCAGTCCCAATCGCTTTAGCCATTTAGGGAATAAACTCTGACTTTCAAAAAGAAAGAGGTGAAGAGACAGAGATTTTCCATGCACTGGTTCGCTTCCCACATGGCCACAATGGCCAGAGCTGAGGCAATCTGAAGCCAGGAGCCTCCTTTGAATCTCCCATGTGGGCTTAGGAACCCCCAGAGAACTGAGCCAGTCTCTGCTGCTTTCCCAGGCACATCAGGAGGGAGCTAGATTGGAAGTGAAGCAGCCAGGACTTGAACTGGTGTCGTTATGGGATACCAGTGCTACAGGCAGAGGCTTAGCATACTATGCCACTGCAGCAGCCTTCAGGTACATTTTTAAACCAAAAAAAAAAAAAAAGAAAGATAAATGAATACAAAATATTCACAATACAAACATCTGCCGAAGAATTGTACAGAGAATATACAAATAACTCTTCTAAGGAATTCAATAATTTAAAAAGACAAACAAGGACACTTTTTTAATTACCAAAAAGAAAAAAAAAAAAAAGCCAAAGAGTTAGACTGTATAAGTCCATTTATGTAACAATTTTGAAAGGACAAAACTTCAGAAATGCAATCAGACACATGGTTGCCAGGAGTGGGGGCAGAAATGAGCCAGGGCTGTGGAACTGAGTAACTGTCCTGGTAGAGACATGAAAAAACACGGGAAAACTGTGCGGAACATGTACATGCAGACACACAACTTGGTACAAGACGATGCTTCTGTAACTTGAGGGGACTCCCACCCGTCTTTCAATACCCATGATGAATAACAGCTTTTATTCATGCAGAATTCCCTGCCCTTTCCAAGTCCCCTATTAAAGGAAGGGACAGTCATCTTCTCCAGTTTTCTTACAATTTGTATTTATTTTATTTTAAATAAATTTCAGAAGGCAGAGAGACAGAGATCTCCCCAACACTCCTGACAGCCAGACCTGCCACAGGTCACAGCCAAGAGCCCAGAATTCGCCCAGTGTTCCCCCAGTGGAGGAGCGCCCCAGCGAGGTAAGCCTTGTTCTGCTGTCTCCTAGGACTGCCTTAGCAGGAAGCTGCACCGGACACGGAGCAGCTGGGACTCCCGCCTGGGAACGTGTGCACCCCAAGCTGTCGCTGAAGCAAGGGTGCCCAGGGCCCCCTGAGTCCTTCACGGCTGTTGGTCCTTTCTACACCCTGCCTCCGCTCTTCTGCCGGAATCTGAAAGCTGGCGAGCTAGTTGTTAGTGGGTTGCCACTATTGACCACTTGAAAGCTGGAGTGGGACACGCTGAAGCTACTTTCTCAGAAATTAACCAGTGACTCACTTCTCAGATGAACTAGTTGCCCAGCAATGAGGGAACTGAAAAGGTGTTAACTTTCAAAAAAAAAAAAACTCTGAAACATATGTACCTACAACTCTTTCAGGGAACTGGAAAAAAAAGCACATGCATTGACATATATATATATATAAAATATATTATCGATATATAATATAAATTGAGATATATATATACACATACATATATCAATCATATACATATTCCAAAGACACGTACCTGTACTCTTTCTTGTCTTTTGATGACAACAAACCCTGCAGCTCCACCACGAAGTCCTCATGCAATAGGCAGTGGGAGACCTGGACGCTAGAGTAGGGGTGCAAAAGAAAAACATTTGGTTTTAGGAGGCAGAGAACAGAAATAACGTCCTCAAGTCAAACCCAAACGCTGGCTCTGACCCCGAGTCTGCGTCCAAGGCCCACAAGCTGGACAGTGAGGCCTGCGAGTGCTCTGCCGAGGTCTGGGCTCATTGCTGTCAGCTTCTCCCATTGCCTCAAGTGGAACAGGGCACTGCCTTTTTTCTTAATGACTCAAAACTGTGAAGCTATTATACTGTGAGATGGGACCCCAATACTGTGGCATCTCGGGGCTGGCTCACGAGTTCTCTGTCGGCCCTTCCGCTGTCCTCAGCTGTCGCGCAGTGCTAGTCCTGCACCTGCCTCTAAGGACAGGCTACTCACCAGACTACTCCCTCCCAGCTCATTTTGAGAAAATGTACTTAAGTCGAGCACGGGAGAGTAAGTCTGAGCGAAGTCTAGAACACTAGCCTGGGACCTGGGACGGCCTTGTGGGCCTAGATGCTGGTTGTCAGATAGAATCCAAAGAGGTCAAGTTTCTCAAACAACTGCCTCCCAGCGAAGCCCGACTGCACGCACGTACAGCCATACACACACATGAACGGCTTTGGGGAGAGGCCACATTTCACAGCACAGCTGCACATTTTGAATCATTAAGAAAAAGAAACTTATTGCGTGCGTTACCTGAGACAGGACGGCAACCTTCAGGCAGCTGACAGTCCCTCAGAACATGTTTTTTTTCTTTTTTTTTTAAAGATTTATTTTTATTATTTTTTTTTATTGGAAAGGCAGATATACAGAGAGGAGAGACAGAGAGGAAGATCTTCCATCTGATGATTCACTCCCCAAGTGAGCGCAACGGCCGATGCTATGCCGATCCGAAGCCAGGAGCCTCTTCAGGGTCTCCCACGCGGGTGCAGGGTCCCAAAGCTTTGGGCTGTCCTCGTCTGCTTTCCCGGGCCACAGGCAGGGAGCTGGAAGGGAAGCGGGGCTGCCAGGATTAGAACTGGCGCCCATATGGGATCCCGGGCGTGCAAGGCGAGGACTTAACCACTTGCGCCACCGCGCCGGGCCCAACATGTTTTTTTCTTAATGCAAAGCGAAAGCTTGGGCCACCATTAACGCTTAATGACTGTCAACCTCAACATGCTTATCTCCCCAAACTTGAGCAGGGTGCTGAAGAGGCTGTGCACACTTAGAAAAGAGCAAGTGCTCATACAAGGATGTGCTGTCACTGTAGACAGCCTGAGTAGCTTCTGATCAATGTCTCTTTAACATGTGACACGGCTTCACTGAAGATCATCTTGAATTTAATTAATTTGGATCCTGGCTATTTCTTTCAAATAATAAATCTTTAAAAAATTCCAGTACTAAGAAAACATTTTCTCTAGAAATTTATTTTCTAGATCTGGAAAATGCAAAAATTTGCACTCCTTTTCAAAGCAAAACGCAAATGTCCAAACTGTATAACTCATGTCAAGAAAACATCAGAAGTTAAACCTTGTTGGGGTTGTGAGGCTAGTGAGTTAAACAGCCACCTGCAGCGCTGGCATGCCATGTGGGTGCAAGTTCAAGTTCCAGGCACTTCACATTGATTCTGGCCACCTGTTAATGTACCTGGGAAAGTAGTGGATGACGGCCCAACATTCAACACAGGAGACTCAAGCGAAGCTCCTGAGTTCTCCCTGGCCAGCACCAGCCACTTGGACCACTATGGAGTGAACCAGAGGAGGGAAGAGATATTTTAAAAATGTATTTAAAAAAGACTTTCTAGTACTAATGTTCAAATGTGCTCTGCACACCACATGGAAAATGATGGGAAAGTTTTAGCTTCATACAGAGAATGTAGACACTGATACTGTAAAACACAAACACCTGCTAAGATCAGGCCACTTTTCACACTGACACGAGGATAGTGAACATTTCCGGCTCTCAGTTATCATGCCTGCAAAGCCGGAGTCCTGGATCGGATCTCAGAGGCTTCCTTCAAGGCAAACTGCTCACATCAGTTTCCTTGTATTAGTCATCTCATTCCATTTAGATGTAGAGAATTTTCATTTAAAAATAAAGATTGGGTCCAGCGCGGTAGCCTAATGGCTGAAGTCCTCGCCTAGCACTTGCCAGCATCCCATATGGGCGCCGGTTCTAATCCCAGCAGACCCACTTCCCATCCAGCTCCCCTACTTGTGGCCTGGGAGAACAGCCTAGAACGGCCCAAAGCCTTGGGACCTTGCATCCTTGTGGGAGACCCTGGAGAGGCTCCTGGCTTCAGATCAGCGCAGTACTGGCTGTTGCAGCCACTTGGGGAGTGAATCAACGGACAGATCTTCCTGTCCGTCTCTCCTCCTCTCTGTATATCTGAGTTTCCAATAAAAATAAATAAATCTTAAACAAACAAAAAAGACCAAATGTCTAACTATCTAAGCTGCAGCGCTGTAACCTGAAACATTAGACAATCAAAACAAAACAGCCAGGTCCAAAGCACTGGAAAACAGGACACTTGCTTGCCCACCATGCCCACCATGCCCACCATGCCCGCTGCGGGTGCTCCCTTGGACAGAGGATGTGGGGAGTCGTCCCACAGCACGTGCGAGTGGCGAAGGACTGCCCGGCGGACAGGGGAGGAGGGGATCCAGCCACGGCGGAGACCCCGTCTCACAGGTGGGGACCCCGCGACCCGGGCAGGAAGGGGAGGCAGCTCGGTCCCGGGGCCGGGACTGTCCGGCACCTCCGGCCTGCTTTAGGGGCCCCAGGGGGATGCTCCGGGGGTCACGGGCTGCGGTGTCCAGCTCGACACCTACTCTGTCGGCTGCACGAAACCGCACGAGTCCGTCCGGCACACGTAGAAGCTCTTTCCTTTATTAGGGCCGTCGCGGACGCCGGTCTTCAGAAAGCACAGAGTCCCTGAGGAGACGAGAAGGTCGATAACGATTACAGCCAAACCAGGTCGACAAGCCCCGACGGACACCAGACCCCGGCGCCTTACCGTGCTCCGGGCACCTCACCCCTTCCATCACGCACCTCGTCTCCCCTTCCACAACACCGCACCCCACGACCCACTTCCGCCTTTTGCCCCGCCCCTAGGGAGGAACTACTAATCAGGGGCCTACTCAGGAACCAATCATTATTCAGCTCCTGCGAACCCGCTCTCCGTGACTCGCGGCCCTTGGCCTTAGTCCCCGCCCTTTCTTTGATCAGCCAATCACATAGGGGATTTTCTCCGCTCCAACCAATCACAGCCTCCGTATGACTTGGCCCGCGCAGAAATCAAATATAAAGTGAGGGGTGTGGCGGGCCGGGTTGGTGAGTTAAGCTGCCGGCCGGGGCGGGGCCTCCGGGGAGCCGGACGTTTCCGGGGCGGCGACGGCCATCCACCTGGAGGACCCAGAAGCTGCAGGCATCTTGGTCCGGAGTTGCGGACCCTGCAGTCGGGTCCGCACCCGGCCTGGCGCTGCCGGGGAATCTCTGGGGCGGGAGGCATGGGGCAGCAACTGGGGCAGGTGGAACCACGGAATTCGCGGGGCCGATTGCACAGTCTGTCACCGAGCAGACACGATCGCAGGCTGCTGAGGTGTGCGCCGCTCTCTCCCCTCAGCCAACTGGCGGTGCTGGACAGCCTGGCGTGGGAGATCCCTCAGCCCCTCAAGGTGAGAGGGTTAAGAAATAGGTGCTCTTTGGACAGGCGCACAGGTTTTAGTTCCAAGATCGATGCTATTATCTTGTCATGGTGACTGTGAGATGCTTTTGTCATTTTAAAAAGTCGAGAATGAACGTCAGAGAGGGCAACTTAAGATTGTAATAAAACCTCCCGTCACAGAAAGAAGTGGATACCAGAGAAACTCACTGCCATCGACATGGCTTCACGTGACAGATGCTTGCGCATGTATAGAATGACTTGTGGAAGATTCTAGAGGTCTAGAGAATATGGGTGATGTGATCAGTGTATGGGTGGTCAGAGGCGGAAGACAAACCTGCCGCATCATTTATGGAATGAAACAGGACTTAGCAGGTAGCTTTCTACATGCGCATGCAGAGCATGTGCTTGGAAAATAATAAAATCTGTTTATGGTTGCACAAAGCTCAACGCAACTATTCTAACTACAGAAACAGTTGACTCGGTATCTGGGGGAGACTGAATAAACATACACTGACCACTTCAATAATACCAAATAGTGTTTAGATATCAGAATGAATAGTTACTGTTAAAACCTGGGAGAGCTGGACAAAGATGTTATCTGGGTGCCCGGTGCTGCTATGAAGTGGGATAAGCTGTCACCTGTGGCTCGGTTGCTCCACTCCTGGGAAAGCAGTGGAAGCTGACCCAAGTGCCTGGGCCCCTACATCCATTGCAGGAGACCAGGATGAAACTCCTGGCTCCTAGTTTTTTGGCTTTTGTGGCCATTTGGGGAGTGAAACAGTGGATGGAAAAATCTCTCTATATAACTCTGCCTTTCAAATAAATATTTTTAAAAATAATAAAAGGAAGGAAGAGAAATAAAAAGATATGTCTAAACGTTCCAAAGTGGTGTTAGTTTATGCTGAAAATTGCCCCATTGAAACACCCATGGATGAACTCTAAGATAAGGCATAGGCAAAGAAAAAAACAGGTAGACGTTTTCATTATTCCAAGGTTGTAATTCTTAGAATTGCAAGGCAGAATTACAGAGAGGGAGGGGCAGAATCAGAGAGACAGAGGGCTCTTCCATCCACTGGTTCACTCCCCAAATGGCTGCAATAGTGAGACCTGGGCCAGTCCAAAGCCGGGAGCTAGGAGCTTCTTCTGGGTCTTCATTTGGGTGCAGGGCCCAAGCCCTTGGGCCGTGTTCTGCTGCTTTATGTGGTGCATTAGCAGGAAGCCGGATCAGAATTGGAGCAGCCAGGACTCAATACGGCACTCTTATGATACTGGCACGACAGATGATGGCTTTACTCACTTAGCCACAGCAGTGGCCCCAAATGGAAAGGGTTTATGTTGCTTATGTTTAATAGATACTAAACTGAGAATGAGTCCTAAATACTGGTTTGACAAACATATGGGCATGGCAATTTTTTCTTGAATAATATGACTTTTATAAGAAGAAATTAGGGCCCTGTAATTCATCATTAAAGAGAAGCCCTGCCTCTCCAAGTCCTCCCCCAAGCCAGATCCAACTCCACACAAATGTGCATGGCTGAATTACAAAGACAGGAATGTTTCTGCAAACCTGGAATCTGCCAGTCAGAATGTGTGGTCCCTGGGCGGCTCATCCTGTGGACTTATATTTACCAAATGGGAAAAATGAGTGTTATGTTGAATCAAAGATCCTCACTGGAAACACGTTTTAAATCAGTTCATCGGCCCTTTGATGTGAACTCTAATGAATTTTGCAATATTATGATTTTAAAATAACCACATATGTGTATACAAGTGCCTATATTTGCATTTTTGGGGTTATATTTTTTATTTTAAATTGATATTATTCATTAGTTAAAGAATCCAGAAGTTCTTTGAAGTTGAGCTTTACGTCTCTGTTTTGAATACTGTTGAGCATTTGAGTTTGCTTTTTCCTAAACACTTGTTTTATTACAAGTGAACACGTTGGTCCAGATCTACATAGTTTAAATGCAGCAAGTCAAACATCCAATTCTTTCAGTAAAGGGGCAGCGGAATCAAATGCAAAGTATATATGAGAATTAACCTAAAAACTGGATTGTGAAAATGGCTGTGCAATTGTGTGAATTTACTAAGACTCATAGAACTGTATACTTTAAATAGCTATATTCTGACTCCAAATTATACCTCAGTAAAACTCTTTAAAATATGTGTAAGCACTACCCAAATGTGTGCATGGAAAGAAAAAACGAAAACAACTCGCCGAGATACACTAGCATCCTACGCAAATATCGTCACAGGTGAAGAGGTAAAGCAGTGGCAAAAGCCCTCTGGCTTCAGACGGTGTTGACCTGGCACAGTGGCCAAGCATGCTTGCTCTCTGATCTGTGCAATCAAACCCCAGCTGGTGCCAACTTGCATTTTAATTCTTGGGGAAATGAAAACGTGATATTTTCTCTGGTTGGTGTCATGCCAGCTGACATAATGAAGCATATCAGATATCCATGGGATGCCAGAGGTGAGTGGACCAGATAGAGCAGTCACCCCTGTCACAACAAAGTAGGGGTAGGTGTTTGGCAGTTACTAAGCAATCCGTGTCTCATTTTGGAGTGTCTCGGTTCAAGTCCAGGTTCCTCTTTCAGTTCCAATCTCCTGCTCGTGTGCACCCAGAGAGGCTGCCACTGATGGTTCAAGTCCTTGGATCCCTGTCACCACAGAAGAAAACCAGATTGTGTTCCAGGCTCCTGGCCTGCTCTAGCCCCAGCTGTTATATGCATCTGGGGAGTGAATCAGAAGTTGAAAGACCTCTCTCTCTCTTTCTCTGCCTTTCAAATAAATAAAAAATAATTTTAAAAGCATAACCAGTTCCAAGACTCAAATGACCTGTAAAATTCCAACTTACGGAAACTTTGTCTTTGCTCATTATTGTTACTGTTTTGTTTCCATAGTTTATTAAAAATGAAATTTTTTTGATTTTCGTATTTTAAAAATTAGATTGCTCAAATATGTTGCTTTGCTTAGCTAATAATCTTAAGAAACGTGTTTTGGGGCCCAGCGCGATGGCACAGTGGTTAAGGTCTCGCCTTTCACGCCCGGGATCCCACATGAGCGCAGGTTTTAATCCCGGCAGCCCGCGCCGGTTTTAATCCCGGCAGCCCCGCTTCCTATCCAGCTCCCTGCCTGTGGCCTGGGAAAGCAGTCCAGGACAGCCCAAAGCTTTGGGACCCTGCACCCGCGTGGGAGACCCGGAAGAGGCTCCTGACTTCGGATTGGCTCAGCTCCAGCCACTGCGGCCGCCTGGGGAGTGAATCTTTGGACGGAAGATCTTCCTCTCTGTCTCTCCTCTCTGTCTATCCACCTTTCCAATAAAAATAAAATAAATCTTTAAAAAAAAAAAAAGAAACGTGTTTTATTGGAGGAATCAGGGGTAAGTAATTTTAACTGGCAAATAAATCATTTTTGTCCAAGAGGTGAGTCATGAGTGAAAGTTCTCTGTTCCAGCTTTCTCCAAGCTCTGAGATTCGTGCCTTTCCAGGCATGCCATGACCGCTCGCTCCAGCAACATGCTTTTGTCCTCCCTTTAGTGGCTTGGATACAGAAGTTCAGAAGTCAGTCAGGTCCTAGCAGCTCCTTCACAGAACCACTCCTACTACTTTAGAATCAGAAAGGTTAATAGATTAATTTCTGTGATTAAAAGCCATAAAACTGACATAGCAGACCAGGAACTGAAAGCCATTTGGGGAGATTCACAATCCAGTTCTTGCCAGGATAGTTGTTTTTTAAGCATAAATTATTTGGACCCTTAACCTACTTTTTATAAAGAAAGGTTTATTTATTTATTATTGGAAAGGCAGATTTACAGAGAGGAGACAGAAAGATGTCCCATCCACGGATTTACCACTCAAATGACCACAACAGCCAGAGTTGAGCTGATCCGAAGCCAGGAGCTAGAAGCTTCTTCTTGTTCTCCCATGTGGGTGCAGAGTCCTTAGACTTTGGGCCATCCTCTACTGCTTTCCCAGGTCACATGCAGGGAGCTGGAGGGGAAGTGGAACAGCTGAGACACAAACGTGTTCATATTGGATCCCAGCACTTGAAATGGGAGGGCTAACAAATTGAGCCATTGAGCCAGGCCCTTTAACCTACATTTTATTAAGCGTTTGAGTGTTTGCTGCAATCTACAGACAGGGTTCAAAATATGGAAATGTGTGTAAACACACACACACACTTGCAATTTTAAAAGAAATCACTAGGTGGTAGCAGATTCACATCAAAATCATCTTGAAGCTAGATAATGGCAATTAAAAATTTGTCTTTCAAATACACAACATTTTTAGCATGCCCTTTGACAGGCACAGTCAGGATGATATGGTAGAGCAATGAATCGTGATCATTTGAAAAGAGGTTTTACAAACTCTTGTTGTATTGATATTTTTGCTGTACTAGATTCAT